AAGTATTATATGTAATGGTAGTAGGATCTATACCTCTTTTGATCATCTCATTCAACCATTCTTTAGCCTCAGTAAGCTTTCCCTCTTTCACAAAACTATCAATCAATGCATTGAAGGTGACAAGGTTCGGGGTGATTCCCCTTGTAATCATATCCCACAGCAACTCTGCACCGTCATCCCATCTACCAAAACTACAGAAGCCTCCAATGAGAGATGTGTAGGTAAAGACATTTGCTTTGATACCTTTGGTTTCCATTTCATTGAAAAGACTGAGTGCATCGTCTAGGCTCCCATCTTTACAAAGACTATCGATAATCGTAGTGTATGTGACTACATCGAGCTGGATCTTTCTATCTTCCAACTTTCTAAGCAGATCCAAGGCCGAGGAAGTGTTCCCAGACTTACACATTCTATTCAAAATAGGACCATAAGTAACTCCATCAGGTTGGCATCCATTAGCCATCATTCGATCAATCAAAGCCATTGCTTCAGAGAGTCTATCTTGGAGACAAAGTCCATTGACAATAGTGTTAAGTATGATAAGATTTGGAATAACCTTCATTTCCACCATACGATCAACTAATTGCACAGCTGTGGAAACTAGACCCTTGAGACATAAACCATTTATCAAAGTAGAGAATGTGATTGTGTCGGGCTCATATCCAAGTTTCAACATCTTTCCCATCACAGAAAAAGCAAAACCGAGTTTCTGGAGACGGCAGAAGCAGTTGATGACTATACTCAGAGTGTAGATGTTATGTGCAATCCCATTCGACTCCATCTGCTTGCAGAGATCCAACACGAGATCATACAGTTTCGTTTTAGCAATACCACTAAACAGTATACTAAAATCAACGAGTGTAGGGAGAGGACGAGACTCAATCATGGATTGAAACAAAGCAACAGCATCATCCTTCTTGATTCCAACAATTCCACTTCTCAATTTCTCTCTATAAGATAATATTTTTCTTTGGCTGCTGCTGCTGACACCACTAGCAAAGGCTCGTTCGCAGAAGAATTCGTATGGGATTTGGAAGAAAGCATTTCTCAGAGTACCTGTCTCGGTTGAACGGGGACGAACCAATCTCAAAGTAGTAAGCCGACGCCATCTCTGTGTCCTCATCATCATCATTCCCGCTTTAGATGAATCGTTTTCTTCTAGTTAGGGCACACAAAAATGGATTCTCTGAGTGAATTGAGTGAGCTCTAGATATTTTGTGGGAGAGAGAACGTAAAAAAGAAGACCAGTTAGGTGATTTTACTTGTATGTGTCTTGTTTTTTTATTTTACTTGTATGTGTCGTGTCTTGTCGGCTCGTTGTTAATGTGATTTTAATTGTTTTTGTTATGTCGACAAAGTAAAACGATGTCTCTTCAACTGATTATTACAGTAAACAGAAGAAGTTCAGAACAATATCGCCCACAACTTGTTCGATTGAATGCATCAGCAAGGCTCAGTTGGGATTATCGATTAGAATGCATACAAAGATATTAAATCAACCAAATTATAAGAAAGCAGTCAACTTATGATTCAGGTTACAAGCTTTACATGTAAGACCTATCTACGCTTATTCTATATGGTCAAGACTCGAGAGACTCTCTTTACATACCCAACTATACTACTTAAGTTAAAACAATCACAAACCAAGCTGCTTTTTCACTCTTATTCACAACAAACACTTGTGATAACACCGTCCCTTTTTCCTTCCAGCCTCCCGTTGGACGATCACATTTAGCAAATCTGAGAAAACAACATTCAATCACAATTAGAAAATAAATTAACTGTTCACAGCTAACTTCTCTTAGACTTTCACGGCTAATTAACTCCCAAAAGACCAATCATGGAGACAGACAAGTCTTCTATTAAAGACAGCACAACCAACTTATAGTTTTAATGATGTCTGAATTCATCAATATCAAAAGTTATACACTGAAAATGAACCAATGACAAAACAGAAAGAAAGCGATTATAAAGGAGAAGACATCAACATCTGAAGCAAACAAACTTAGTTTTATACTACTAAAGCCCAAGTACCTCAGAAATTAACTCGAACTTTGTCTCTTGCAGATAAGATCCAAACATTGTAAGAAACCTATTAGCAATTAGCATATATGTATATCTCTCTTCCGACAAGGCTCAGCAGCGTCAAGAAGATTTATTTCAATCCAACGATGATGATTTGTCTCCAAAAGGACCAGAAAGCATATTTAGAAAGCTTTTGTCCAATTCAACACTCGATAGCATATCCATAACTATCTTTATGGTGGAAGCAACTGAAGAGAACCCACAACTCTTCATTTCTTCTATAAGTTTAGCAGAGAGCAGCAAGACTGCAATTTGCAACCGGCGCCCGCAAAAGAAAAAATATACGGTTAATCAGGAACACAAGAGAGTCAAGGAACAATGTGTAGGTTATTTCTTAAGTTAACAAATAACAACAAGATGAATACACTAACAGAAGATTTGAGTTCTTTAAGCCAATCATTACTAGAACATAGCAGAAGTTGTAAATGATATTGACACTAGAATTTCAAAAAAAATTTCTACCTTATCTATAGTTTAATACCTAAAAACCTAGCTGTCAGGCAGTTCTAAAGAGAGCCACTAGATTCATTGGGACGTGAAAGATCATGTCCAAAGACACGCAAGTTTTCAGGAAACATAGATTCTAAATGTAAATTAATGGCAGGAGTGAAGAACCAGCCACGGAGGAAAAAGAAGCAAACCAGAATCAGAATCTTGGTGATATGGCTCGAAAAGAAGATTTATTTTAATCCAACGATGATGATTTGTCTCGAGAAGGACCAGACAGCATATCTAGAAAGCTTTTGTCCATTTCACCACTCGATAGCATATCCATAACTATCTTTACGGTGGAAGCATCTGAAGAGAACCCACAACTCTTCATTTCTTCAATAAGTTTAGCTGATGTAGCTAGGTCACCACCTCGGAGATGTGCTCGGATTAGTGTGTTGTACGTACAATCATTTGGCTCATACCCATCTCCCTTCATTTTTCTAAACAATGCGTCCGCTTCAGACAGTGAGCCTTCCCTACATAATCCTGACAACATTATGTTGTATGACCAAATATCACGCTTCACTCCTTTGAGAGAGAGGCTACAGAATAGATCCCAAGCATCATCTACTTTACCAGCATTGCACATCCCGTGAATGATGATACTATATATACCAATATCAAGTTCCATCTTACTCTTGTGCATTTTATCAAGTTTTCCCAAAGCCTCTTCTAGTTCTCCATTGTCACACAATCCATCCAGCAAAATTTTATAGGTTACATTATTAGGATGAGCACCTTGAGAGACCATCTCTTGGAAGAGTTCCTTGGCGACGGTAAGGTTTCCTGACTGAGAAAATCCTTGGATGAGAGTGTTATAAGTGACTGTATCAGCAACCACTCCACTCAAACACATTATGCGGAAAATTCTCAGACCATCATCAACCAGTTTAGCCTTACAATATCCGTTTATAACGATACTAAACGTCACAGTATCAGGATCGCATCCCATGCTAACCATTAGATCCACCATCTGGTTGGCTTCATCTAAGCGATTCTCCATGCAAAATCCATTTATCAGAGAATTATATGTAATGGTATTAGGATCTATGCCTCTTGTGATCATCTCATTGAACCATTCTTTAGCCTCAGTAAACTTTCCCTCTTTCACAAAACTATCTATCAAAGTATTGAAAGTTACGACGTCCGGTGTGATTCCCCTTGTAATCATATCCCTCAGAAACTGTGCACCATCATCCCATCTACCAAAACTACAGAAGCTTCCTATGAGAGAATTGTAGGTAAAGACATCTGCTTTGATCCCTTTGGTCTCCATTACATTGAAAAGGCTGAGTGCATCGTCTAGGCTCCCATCTTTGCAAAGACTGTCAATGATGATATTGTATTTGGCAGCATCGAGCTCTATCTTTCTACATTCCATCTTTCTGAGCAGATCCAAGGCCGAGGAAGTGTTACCTGACTTGCACATTCTGTTCAAAATCGGACCATAGGTAACTGCGTCGGGTTGGCATCCATTTTCCACCATTCGATCTATTATATTAACAGCTTCAGATACTCTATCTTTGATACAAAGCCCATTGACAATAGTGTTGAGTATGATGAGATTTGGAATGACCTTCATACGATCAACTAACTCCACAGCTTCGGAAACTCTACCTTGGAGACATAATCCGTTAATCAAAGTAGAGAATGTGACTGTGTTAGGCTCATAACCAAGTTTCAACATCTTTCCCATAACAGAAAAAGCAAAACCAAGTTTCTGTCGCCTGCAGAAGCAATTGATTGTAATGTTGAGAATGTAGAGATCATACGCCATCCCTTTCAGTTCCATTTGATTGCAGAGACCTAAAACGAGATCATACTGTTTTGTTTTGGCAACTAAACCAAAAAATCTGTTGAAATCTATAACCGTAGGAAGAGGACGGGAATGAATCATAGATTGAAAGAGAGTAACAGCATCATCTCTCTTGATATTGATGAGACCACTTCTCAGTTTCTCTCTATAAGAGAGATTTCCATCGCTGCTGCTGCTGACACCACCAGAAACAGAAAAGCCTCTTTCGCAGAAGAAAGCATTGCTTAGGGTACCGTCTCAGGTGAGCGGGGACGAACCAAGCTCAAAGTTGTAACCCGACTCCGTCTCTGTCTCCTCATCATCATCATCATTATCCCTCCCTCCCTGCTTTAGACGAATCTTCACTTCTTAGGGCACACAAGATGGATTCGATCTTCTGAGTGAGTGAGGAAATTTAGTGGGAGAGAACGAACGGAAAGAAGACCGGTTAGGGAATGATTCCGGTTCAATTTAAATGTATGAGAGTCGGGTCGTTGTTTACGTGATTTTTAATTTATTTCCGTAATGCTGACTATAGTAAAACGATGTCGCTTCGACATATGATAGCTTCAGGCCATTAACGAGCCTCTGTTTTTGTTGTTACCCGATTAAAAGATATCAAAAGGTTTCTTTACCCAAACAAAAACTCAGCAATGCATTCACTGGAGCAATACAAGAAAATGGTTTCTCTTTCTTTCCACTTGAGTTTTGCAAAACATCAGGATGTGACCCTAATTAAAAATTGCTCATATCTCTTTCTGAGATCTTAGATAGTTCATGAGAGGACCCATTCCGCTACCTCTCCGCCATGAGGAACTCCCTTTCTTGTTCCAACCATTGTTGCCTACTTCACACAGCTTTGCTTTTTTCGCACTTAGAGCTTCACTTAGCTCTTCCCAAGGGTTCCCTTTTCCATTCTCTGCAAATTTTTTTACATATTAGCTCCAATTGATATACAATATCGCGTCAAGATTGTTGGATAAGTAACCTTTCACAGTGGTTTGCGAACCGTTGTTGTTTGTGCTCAGCGTTAGATTCGTAGCTGCTTGGTCAGGCTTGGTGGCAGAGACTTCCACCACGTCTGAGCTGCTAGTTTTGACGCTGCGGACATCCAGCAGAGAAGAATATTCAATCTGCAGAAGCAAACGTCTTTCTTATATTAATTAGAACTCTGATGCTTAGCAATCAAACAACAACAAGAATCATGAAGCATACCTCCAAGGATCCGTCTTCTTTATAAAGTGATGTATCAGCTTGCATTGATGAATCATCCTCCTCTTCTGCCTTCTTCTCAATTGGATATTCTTGAACAGGCATCAACGTCACCTTCTTGGAGCCTGGATCATAGTAGCTTATCTTTCCAACCTACCAGAGGAGAGATATGACGTTAATGCCTTTAGGTATTAGGTATTGACAGATCAATTGGCTAAAAAGGAGTGTCAGAAATATTACTCGGAAGGAGGAAACTTCAGGGGTCCAAGATGATGTTAGCTCAATGAGGCGGTACGCAATAATATCTCCTTTCTGAAACATTAACATATCAGTAGTGAGGGGAGAACAAACTATAAACAAGTGTCTAAGGTAAATACTATAAAACAAACCTTTACTGAGCCAGTGTAAGCCACAAGCTGTTCATAGTCTATCTGACCGTTAGCAAGTGTCTCTGCTTCAGCGGGCTGTGTCTGATAAGTATCATCTTCATTCAAATCTGAAGCATATCGTTTGGAAAATCCTGTCTTCTCTGTACCCCATTTTTGGCCTTTCTTCTTCGTCATGTTACCATTCCACAAGAAATTTTCCTATAACATTATCAAGTCAAATGATCATTACAGATTGTAGATCCTTCAAAAGGTTAAGGAAACAAAGATAAGGGTAAAGACATACCGCAGGAGGTTCAGTTTCAGGGGAAGCTTCATCTGTTTCATCTGAAAAGTAAAAGTATAAGAGAAACTGTGAGGAGGAGCCAAAAAAAAAAATGCACGAGAGTTCTGAAGAGAGGAAGATTTATATACCGAGCTGCTTGAAGCGAATGTGGCCTGGTCTAACTTCCACAAGGACCACTTCATCCCCTACGCCATCACCATGTTCATCTGGCTGCTGCTTTTCGAGAGATTCAGAGGGATTTTCCTTGGTTACTTGGTGGTAGTCTATAGTGATAGCTTGCTTTTTGCTGGGTGCTACAACCATCTGCATCTGGTTCTGTAGAAGCTGCAAATTGTGTAACAAGAAAGCAGATATCAGTGTTGTTTAAACGCGTGATAGATACATAAGTATTATCATTTTGAGTTTTGTAGTATATGAAGACAAACCTCTTCCGTCTCTAGTTTTGTCTTTTCTCTCAACCATTGCCGTTTAGCCTTTTTACGCCTAGCGCTTCTGCTAGGTGTCTGAAACAAACACAAGGAAGAGTTAGCTTCACATTCATTGCCGCAAAGAAGGATCAGATAAGAAGCTAATGGAGCATATAAAACAACAAGCAAATCCCTACATTACATACATCAGTGAATTTATGCAATACGAATTCTGTATATACACATTGTCCATTCGTGAATAGAAAGAGATACAAACACAAGACAAACCCTTTTAGTTCATCGAGACAATGATGTAAAACACAAACCTTTTTAGTTTCACCAGACATGTCGCACAATTCGTCAGGCTCTTTGCTCTCTTCTTCGAGCGATGACCTGCATTTTGAAAAGCAATAGAGAAACAATCAGTGAGAAATAATTCATGAGTTTGTAGCGAGTTTTAACAACAAAAAAACAAAACATACACTTTCTTCTTTGACTTGGTCATGGAATTGGCGTTAGCATCATTCTGTTTATCGTTTTCAGCTCTCTGTACATCCAATGTTTTCCTCTTCTTCTTTACAGCATTGCTTTTGTTCACAACATCTGCGTCTTCTCTTTCCATGGCAGTTTCTTCAGTAGTAGCTAACTTACACTTCTTCCTCCTACAAAAATCATCAAAAGTTGAATAACAACAAATACCTGTCAATAGGACTCATTCTGGTCAAGATCCTACTTGGAGCTTGGGCTTGTGCTCGAGCCTTTACGTTTCTTTGAAGTCTTCTTCTCCGGCACAATCTCTTCTTCCTCAGACTCACTTTCATCATCTCCTCCAGTTTCCTCATCACCAAGAAGCATTGCACCAGGAAGAATCTGAGCCCTCTCTTTAACCTCAATCGCAGCACAAACATTCTCCTCACTGTCTTCCTCTAAAATCTCCAACAAAGGTTCCTTCTTCCTCTTAACACTACGAAACAAAAACGAAAACTTTTAATCACTAACATTCAATAAAAGACCGCAAATAAAAATTCATTACAAGACCTAACATGGTGTGAAAACTAACCAAACAATGTCTTTATCCTTTAACACACAGCTCGACTCAAACGGCGGCAAAACGAACCCATCCATCTGAAAATCAAAGATAAAACTTCCCATAAGTGAATGTAAGTGTCGACATTGAACATAAGGGCAGAAAAAAAGAAGCAGACGTACAGATAGAGAGAGGCCATGAGGACAAGCTTCGAAGAGGCTAAATGTGTAGAGGATATGATTAGAGAACTCTGAAACAGTTCGATTATGTTTAGGATTCAGAACAACCCAGCTCCTCTTTAGACCTTGCTTCTTCTGGTACTTGCTTAGAATCCGTTGATCCTCAAACACCAGACGAATCCTCACCGTGTCTTCCGCCATTGTAGACGAGTTTCAGAGAGGAAAAGGATGATCTTTCGCTGGAAGTTTCGACCTTTTTCGGAATCCTTAAACCCTGTCTGTGTTACAAAACGGAAACGAGAAAGAGAAAGAGAAAGCGAGAAAAGATGAAGACCAACCTAACACTCTAGTTCTCAAAGAGGGTTTTAGATGGAAAACTAATAGGTACATAACGGCCCTTGATAAAAGCCCGTTGACGTAAGCTTCAGATTAAATGTTGAAGCTACGACTCTTAGGGTCCATTACCAGCGGAATTGATAATACCAACTGCAGTTCATACACATTTGTCTTTTTGTTTACTTTAAAAGACACAATATGTTTTTGACACACATTCAATGGAATCTAGAGAAATTGTAGACAACTATGTCCTTAATTCAGCTTCCGTGTTGTTTTATTTAGTTAGAAACAGTAAAGTAGCAACTTGTCTATTTATTAGTTTAGTTAGGAAATTAATTGATGTTTAGATTTCTCGGGTTGTGGAAATAAATTGTAACCACACGATTGGGAGAGAGAATATGGATCCAAGAAATTTTTTTGCTTGACTTTTCTTTTTAAATAAAAGAGCTAATGTTTTTGTGTTGATGGTGGAGGTATCCACGGCCATCACGGCTATCACCTTTGTATCAACCTCCTTATCCATCACTTGTATATCCATAACCACGAAACCTCTACTTCGGTGGTATCCATGGCCACCTACGTTTCCTCCACTCTCACGCCTATCACCACCTCCTCCTTTCAAATAACCACCACCATTGTATCCATCTTCGTATTCATAACATCCACGACCAACTGACCACGATCTCCATTTCGGTAGCTACTGCTATCACGGTCACAACCTCCGTATCCACCATCTCTGTATCCATGACCACCATAACCGTATCCACCATCTTTGTATCCATGACCACCATAATCTCCATTTCCATATCCATTACCTCCGTCCATGACCACCACCGTATCTACTTCCGTATCCATTATCTCCGTCCATGACCATCACTTTATTTACTTCCGTATCCATTACATCCATCCATGACCACCACTGTATCTATTTCCGTATCTATTATCTCCGTCCATGACCACCACTGTATCTACTTCTATATCCATCACCTTCATCCATGGCGAGGGATTTGGAACCGCGATTCATAACTGAGTCAGGAGAGAAGGAGTCGTGTGAGCCCGGATCTGGCGCATATATTGATATATGAAGAGGCGTATGTTGATTGGAGGAGTTTTGAGATCCGATAGGAGAGAGCCATAAGAGGTGAATGTGAGAGAAAAGAGGTGGTGAGTGTCGCGGAGGATGGTGAACCAACGGCGTCGGAAAGAAAGCTTAGTGCTTCGCCAGAGAAAGGGAAGACACCGTAGCAGAGGAAAAAAAGTTTTAACATCACTGAACCTTAAAAGATTTGATTTTCAGTTTGTTTTCTCTTTCTGTATTCTTCTGGGATTCTTGTTCTCTTTGTAGATGATAAAGAACAAATAGAGAGGTGGAGAATAATTGTATTGGAGAAGCAGGTGGAAGATGGTGAACAATTAATGGAAGAAGAACGATGAGATTTGGATTCATAAATTGAAATATATTTGGTAAAGTGCCTTTCTCTATTTAATTTAAATCCAAATTAAAACAAAAACAACTAAACACATAAAAAAGTAACGAGAATGATTTACTCGTTAAGAGGATATTTTAGACATTATGCAAACATAATGTGTGTTGAAATAGAATGTGCTTTATTATGATATTGCAAAGTCAAAATGTGTCCTCCAGAGTAATTTTCTCTTATGCGAAATAAGTGTGAGCATTATACGGAATAAGTATGGTTTTGATACAATAAAAGGCGTGGACTAAAAGTTGATTGATGAAAAAAATATTTTGCGAGTTTAGTAAATACTAATTAAAAAATATAAAATTATCCAGATATTTATTCAACTAAATAGATTTTAATTTTTGGTTTCATTTGTGTTTGGTTTAGATGATGAAACTGATTTTTTAGAAAAATATATTCAATCAAAATAGTTTAATATTTCAATTTATGATTTAGTAATTATTGTTTAAGGTTTAGAATTTAACAGGTATGATTGGGTTTATAAACTTCTATAATATTTTATAAATTATTTATAAACATTAATTTAGTCTTTTTAATTAAATTGGTTTAGTGTCAATGTATTTTATAATTACAAAATTTCTACTTTCTTCCTATCACCCAACTCTATTCTCATCTACACTACACTACTACTACAACTAAAAGTTCAAAACTTTTATTTCAATATTCAGAAGCGATGTAATTAAGTTCTGCCCAAGTACTTAATAGTCCAATAAATAGATGGCCCATTCCGGCCCAGTTAGCTCCTCTGTGGCTTGCCCGGTGCTCAAGAAACGATCTATTCCTTTTTCTCGTCTTCGTTTGTCACTTAACAGCTTCCTTCTTCATCTTCTTCTCCTCGCTTGACCTTTTCTCTCAATTTGATTACTTTTTATCAACAAGGTACGTTTCCGATCCTTAATCGAGCTCTAGCATCGTCAATTTAGCTTGTCAATAACGTTAAAGGTTTAGGGTTTATACATACACACATACACCTCGTGCTAGATCTGATTTGAGGTTTTTGAGAGGAAAGCTCTTTACTTGACTTCTGGGTTTTGTTTATCTCATGCTAGACTAGCTTTCTTCCTTGTATACTGTAGGGTTTTAACAATGAAGCTTGACACTAGCGGGTTCGAGACCTCCATGCCTACAATTGGATTCGGCTCAAGCAACGATATGCTTGATGGGTTTACTACTGTGCCTTCGTTTGATCTTCCCCGCACAACAGATGTGAGTTTTTCTTTTTTTGGTGATTTGATGAAATTGTTTTGGATTCTTAGGAGAGGCAATGTTGGTGATTTGTTTTGGTTGTGTGGGTTTTCCAGTTTGATGGGTTTCAGAAAGAAGCAGTACAGATGGTGAAGCCAGCGAAAGGAACAACCACACTTGCTTTTATCTTCAAAGAAGGTGTCATGGTCGCTGCTGATTCTCGTGCTAGCATGGGAGGATATATCTGTATGCTCTCTTTCATCATCTTTGCTTTATTATACAGAACTTGATGGTGTTTAGCATCTTTTCGTATATTTGACTATGGCAGAACATATATGATGGAGATAAGTTAGCGTCTTGTTGGTTTAGTTTTGAGTTGGATTGTTAAGTAATCTTATTGGCCAATGATTGTTAGACAGTATAGGAAATTAAGCGTTTGTTTTATTGCTACTGATGTTTCTTATGGGGTTTCTGTATTTAGCCTCACAATCTGTGAAGAAGATTATTGAAATCAATCCTTATATGCTTGGTACAATGGCTGGAGGAGCTGCTGACTGCCAATTCTGGCACAGAAATCTTGGAATTAAGGTACTAGTCTATTTTTTTTGTTTGCTTTGTGAACTGATACTTAAAGCTTTGACTTATCTTCATTTCTGTGGCTATCGAAAACCTTGTTGCGTTGTTCAAAACCAAGATACATCTGCCTAATCAAAAGCTTTGATTCTTATCTTCTGTCTGTATTGAGTCTCTTTGAATGCATGCATATTCTGCCCCATGGCCATAGTTAGTGGATTTAGCATCCTTGTTTTGTATTCTAAACATTTATGTAGCAATATACTTCAGACTTTTCTTTGTTATACTCAGAAACCGAATAACAAAATAATTTAAATTGATCAACTATAGTTACTTAGTACTGTTAAGTCGAGGGCAAGAATTGGGGGATGTGATGTTAAATATCGTTGTTATGTTGATTTTCTTCAGTTTACTGCCAATTTTTTCATTTGTTGAGACTATGGCTAATCTCTTGATTATTTTTTTTCTATCCAAGTGCCGTCTACATGAGCTGGCAAACAAGAGGAGAATCTCTGTTTCCGGAGCTTCAAAACTCCTCGCAAACATGCTCTACTCATACCGTGGAATGGGACTTTCTGTCGGCACCATGATTGCTGGATGGGACGAAACTGTCAGTGAAACAAACTTCATATCTTCATTCTTCTTCTTTTTTTTTCTCACCCTAGAGATTCTAACTCCTCCTTGGATATAGGGTCCTGGACTATACTATGTGGACAACGAAGGAGGAAGGCTCAAGGGAGACAGGTTTTCAGTCGGTTCTGGTTCACCATACGCTTACGGTGTACTAGACAGCGGGTAAATCATTACCCCCCAAAACATGTTCATCTCTTTGTCCCTACCATATCCTAATCTTGCTTCTATCATTAGGTACAAATTTGATATGTCAGTTGAAGAAGCTTCTGAGTTAGCAAGGAGATCAATCTACCATGCGACATTCCGTGATGGAGCCAGTGGTGGTGTTGCTAGCGGTTAGTAGTCTCAAATGCGATACCAAACTTTTAAGATACTAAATTTTCGGCTCATATAATAAGATTTGTCTCTTCTCGTGTGATCAGTGTACCACGTTGGTCCTAATGGATGGAAGAAGCTTTCTGGAGATGATGTCGGTGAGCTACACTATCATTACTACCCCGTGCCACCAGCCATTGCGGAACAAGTCATGGAGGAAGCGGCAGCCGAGTAAAACTAATATTCTCTTTTACTTCCAAATAACTCACTATCTTTCTCTAGCTTAAGCTCTGGTATTCACTCTATTAAGATTCTCCGTTTTCCTGCAAACATTGCTTTGTTCAATCAACTTGTGAAACTCTTCACCATGTGATTCAACCTTGAAATTAGGAACACAAGTTGAATATTATTAAAAGAATGTATGGTTAAAAGAAACACCGCCCTACTAGCAACGGAAGCCATGACTGAGTCGTATTTGATGGTAAACAATCAATCAGTGTGTACATAACTCCACTCAAACCAAATATAACAAAAGTCTTAACAGAAATGGTAATGTTTGGACCACAAGTCATTGCTCGGCTAACAGGAGTGTGTCCAAAAATCTAGTAACTTGTACTGCAACTTATAACATATATGGCGTCACAGTGACCTTTCACTCGTATTATAGACAAGACTCTTTACGTAGCTCACCTCTTCAAGAAACAGAGCCAAAACAAAACAAAACAACTCAGGAAACAAAGAACCAAACCGAAAATACTTTTTTTCCTTTTTCTGGTCTGAACCTAAAAATAGATATTGAACATTTACAAAGAACAAAATCTATCACCCTCACATCACTCCTCGTGGAAGGAAGATTCTAGATTGTCAATAATATGGCATAGTTTTTTGTCTTACAAGATTTGTATATTTTAATATTCCAATCAATCAGTGCCATGTTATCCAACTAACCAATCATATCTCATAACAATCTCCAACAGATTAGACTTTGGTCACATTTATGATTCCAAAGAAGATAATCTCCAAATCTAGCAATTTTTGTCACACGGTTTTCAACCACTTGATTTTGTAGACCTAACGTGTCGGCGAGGTCATATATCTAGTAGCCCCATATCGTTATATAATACAAGACTCCTTCGAATTGAACACTCATCTCTCCAAGAAACAAGCTTAGGCAAAAAAAAAAGAAGTTAAAAAATGGAGATCTTGTTCTGTTTCTTCTTAGTTTTGCTTCTTACTCTTGCATCATCAAGCTTTCTTAAAAAGTTCAAAAACTCAAAGTTTAATCTTCCTCCTAGCCCTTCAAGTCTTCCCATCATTGGAAACTTGCATCATCTTTCAGGACTGCCTCACAGATGTTTCCATAACCTCTCACTCAAATACGGACCAGTGATGCTTCTCCGTCTTGGCTTTGTTCCAGTGGTTGTCATCTCATCGAGTGAAGCAGCTGAAGCGGTTCTCAAAACTCACGACCTGGAATGTTGCAGCCGACCAAAGACGCTCGGCACAGGAAAACTCTCTTACGGCTTTAAAGACATCTCATTCTCCCCATACGGTGCTTACTGGCGAGAAATGCGAAAAATCGCGGTTATCGAGCTTTTAAGCCTCAAGAAGGTTCAATCTTTTAGGTATATAAGAGACGAAGAGGTAGGTTACGTGGTGAAGAAGTTATCAGAATCTGCTTTGATACAATCTCCCGTAGATTTAAGCAAAACTTTCTTCTCACTCACCGCAAGCATCATTTGTAGAGTGGCTTTAGGACAGAACTTCCACGTGGACGGCTTTGTTATCGATCAAGAAAGGATTGAAGAGCTTGTTACCGACGCAACGGTAGCCCTCGGGACTTTCACTTTCTCTGACTTCTTCCCTGGTGTGGCTGGAAGATTCTTGGACTTGTTGTTTCAACGAGACAAGAAGATCAACAAAGTCTTTAAAGAGCTTGATACTTTTTACCAGCATGTGATTGATGATCACTTGAAGCCAGAAGGAAGGAAAAATAAGGATATTGTTTCCTTGTTGTTGGATATGATTGAGAAACAGGGAGATGCAGATTCTTTCAAACTTAGTATGGATCATCTCAAAGCAATCGTCATGGTAAAACCTAAAATATTGTCATATTTAACCACTTGATTAGGTTCAAAACTATATTACAGTAAAAACTCTATAAATTAATAATGTTGGGATTTTGAAATTTTATTAATTTATAGAGATATTAATTTATAAAATTTTCCTTATTTAGATTTTTTTTTCTTTCTATTTTTCCATTTTTATTTTTAAAATAAAAAGTATTTGATTTTAGCGTATATACATTATTTATATTTTAGATTTTGACTTTTATATTGTTTATTATCTTATTTAGTGTATATTTTTATGTTTCATAGAATTGTTATGTGATTTTCGATATAATTTAACTAAATATTGTCAAAATATATTGAAATGTTAAAAAAAAAAAAGTTAAAATATTTTTACTGTAAATATAAAATCAACAATATAATGTTAGATTGTAATTATATAAAATTATTTATAGATAGATTATTAATTTATGATTTTAATGGGACTATATATTTACATGGTAGTTTTAAAAATATTATTACCTTATTATTTTATCGATTTGTGTCATATTTTACACCGGCCCAAGTTTGGATCGGTAAAATTTATCAATTTATAGAGATTATTAATTTCGAGTATTAATTTATAGAGGTTCAATTGTATTTGAAGTTTTTATATGTTTGTTAGTTATGTGATTTTTTTCAGGATGTATTTCTTGCGGGGATAGATACAAGCTCTATAACAATGATTTGGGCGATGACAGAACTCATTAGAAACCCTAAAGTGATGAAGAAAGCTCAAGAGAATATTAGAACAACCCTTGGTGCCAACAGGGAAAGAATCACTGAAGAAGATCTAGGCAAAGTTGAATATTTGAATCTTATAATCAAGGAAACATTCAGATTACATCCACCACTTCCGTTTATAGTCCCAAGAGAAACAATGTCACACATCAAGATCAACGGCTACGATATTCCCCCGAAGACACAAATCCAAGTTAATGTATGGACAATAGGACGTGACCCCAAGCTTTGGACCGACCCTGAAGACTTCATCCCTGAACGGTTTGCTAATAGTTCTGTAGATTTTAGAGGACAATTTTGAGTTGTTACCATTTGGTTCTGGTCGAAGGATTTGTCCCGCGATGCCAATGGGAGCTGCTACTGTGGAGTTAGGATTGATGAATTTGTTGTACTTTTTTGATTGGGGATTGCCTGATGGGATGAAAATTGGAGACATTAACATGGAAGAACATGGTAATATCTCCATTGTCAAGAAAGTACCTCTTCAACTTGTACCCCTTCGACGTTATTGATGTGGAGTCTAGAAAAGCTTGATACCATGGAAAGATCAGGAGCAGAAAAGGTACGATTCATCTGATATTGTTGTGTTTATGTAAGGACTTATGTTTGAACGAATACCATATCAAGAAATAATAAAAGGTTATTCGTTTTGTTAAGAAAGTTGCGGTCATACCTTGTTGAGATATGTAATAAGTTAGATAATGTTTGAACAATATATGAGGATGTTACGTATGTCATCCAAGTGGGCTACATGCATGCATGGGAGCAGAATTACTAATGCAGTGCTGCCTTTGCGGTGGTGAGGTGGTACAGCCAGTCAAAAACAACAATTTCTACCGCCAACGAACCACATGAAGACATGAGAGTAATAACAACATGAGTAACAAAATGGAATAGAACAACATCATTCCATGATTTTCTTTTTGTGAAATTTATTCAGTATAGTGACATTTAATTTTTCCACTATAACCATTAGGTTCTGACTAGTATTCTTAGTATTTTTGTGGTGTTTAGTTTATATGAAGGAGAGTTATTTGACGTCATTAGTAAAAAATGGTCGATAAGTCCACCTCTTACAGAGCCAAAATTCAAATTGACTACTTTGTTTTTATCGATTACGTAGCGACTCCGTCACTCATATGCTGAATCAATAATTGCCCTTTATAAAAATATCTCGTGGAAAAACAAATAAATAAGATAATGGAGTAGTTCTTAATCTCTTCAATTAAAATACAAAACTCTGTGAAAGAAACAGCAAAAACAGGACCCCTAACATGTCAATCTTGCTCTGTTTCCTCTGCTTCTTACCTCTTATCTTAATCTTCTTGAAAAATCTCAGACCCTCGAAATGGAATCTTCCTCCGGGCCCACCGAAGCTTCCGATCATCGGAAACTTACACCAACGAGGAGAGTTACACCCCAGGAACCGTAGAAACCTCTCACAGAACTACGGACCAGTAGTACATCTCCGGTTCGGATTCGTCCCCATGGTGGTGATCTCATCAAAAGAAGCAGCAGAGGAAGTGCTCAAGATTCACGATCTCGAGTGTTGTAACCGACCAGAGACTGTCGGGATCAGAATGATCTCTTACAACTCTAAAGACATAGGGTTTGCGCCTTACGGTGAGGAGTGGAGAGTCATGAGAAAGCTCTCGGTGGTGGAGCTCTTCAGTGCGAAAAAGATTCAGTCCTTTAGGTATGTTAGAGAGGAAGAGAATGACTTGTTGGTCAAGAAACTCTCTGAATCTGCTTCAAAGGAATCTCTGGTGAGTTTGAAGAAAACCCTTTATGCACTAGTAGGGAGTATTGTGTGTAGAGTCGGGCTAGGGCAGAATCTACATGAGTGTGAGTTCGTGGATGAAGATGGTATAGCTGATCTTGTGCAAAGGTCTGAGTTGCTCACGAGAACTTCTATGTTCTCTGACTTGTTTCCCGGAAGAATCGGTGAAGTCATGGATTGGTTCTCTGGTCAGACAAAGAGATTGGAGGATGCTTTCTCGGAACTTGATACGTTCTTTCAGAATGTTCTTGATGATCATCTTAAGCCTGGAAGAATAGTACAAGATGGCTCTGATATTATCGATGTGATGATCGATATGATGAGGAGGCAAGACTCTTTCAAGATCACCACAGATCATCTCAAAGGAATGATATCGGTAATTAAAAAAATAAACAAAACATATAACTCTAGATGATTATGATAAATATTACAGACGATTCTAAATATTATACAATTTAAAATGATCATTTGTAACATGATTTTGTGTTATGTCAGGACATATTTTTAGCAGGGGTTAGCACAAGCGCATCCACAATGATATGGGCAATGACTGAGCTGATCAGAAACCCTAGAGTGATGAAGAAAGTGCAAGATGAGATTCGGACAACACTTGGGGACAAGAAGGAGAGTCTCACAGAAGAAGATCTAAACAAGCTTCACTACTTTAAACTAATGATCAAGGAGATATTTAGGTTACACCCAGCAGCTCCACTTTTACTACCAAGAGAGACAATGTCTCACATCAAGATCCAAGGCTATGATATTCCCAAGAAGACACAGATCTTAATTAACGCTTACGCAATAGCACGTGACCCGAACGTGTGGAAGAACCCTGATGAGTTTGATCCTGATAGGTTTCTAGATAGTTCAATAGATTACAAGGGGTTACACTTTGAGCTTTTACCGTTTGGTTCTGGTCGGAGAATCTGTCCAGGGATGGCTATGGGGATTGTCATTGTTGAGTTTGGACTTTTAAACTTGCTTTACTTCTTTGACTGGGGAATGGCGGAGAAAGAAGCAGCCGACAAGATCACCACCGGAGATGAAGTTTCTCTTGACCTCGTTCAAGTTCATATCCACTAAAAATTTGGTTTCTTGCAACAACGTCTATAATATTTGTTATATTTAGCTTAATTCCAAATTAGAGAGACACCTTTTATTAAGTATTAAGAATAGCAAGCCTTATGATTAATCTTCTCTTTATCAAAATTAGCATAAATCCCTAAGTACTTTTAATTAATTAGAAGGACAAGGTCAACATTTGTAGAAAACGTAGAACAATGTCTTTATGCAAAACCTGATTATTAAATTCTCAATAAAATTATAATAAACTTTAGAATAGTAAAAAATAAACTGGTTTTATATTAATATATATACACTATACTTGCTCTAGTGAAAGAAAAAGTTGACTTTAGGCTTTTTAGGTCATTTTATATCAAGATTTTGTTTGAACAAGACGTCGGTGAGGCTGGTTTAATGCCTCCACCAAACTAGTTTGTTTATTAATGAAGGTAGTAGTTGTGACAAAAAAAAATATTCAAGATGGGTCCATTCACGTGTCAATCATGATGAATCCACCTCTACAACACGTAAGAGGAGTTATGGTTTCTTTATTTTAATCGATTACTTTAGGATTATCAACAATAGCAAAACACCCATAGATATTATAAAATATAGTAACTTATGTTATAAATAAATTGTTAAATTCTTCAACTAGTATAACAAAAACCTCAAAGAAGAAACAAAAAAGAAAGACAGAGCAAACGAAAATGGAAATGCTCCTCTGTTTCTTTTTCCTCTTACCTCTTTTCTTAATCTTCTTGAAAAACCTCAAACCTTCGAAATGGAAGCTGCCTCCGGGACCAAAGAAGCTTCCGATCATCGGAAACTTACATCAACTCCATGAACTACCTCCCAGGAACCTCTCCCCAAACTACGGACCAGTGATGCTTCTGCGGTTTGGTTTCGTTCCCGTGGTGGTGATCTCATCTAAAGAAGCAGCAGAGGAAGTGCTCAAGATCCATGACCTAGACTGTTGTAGCCGACCAGAGACAGCAGGGACAAGAAAGATCTCTTACAATTTTAAAGACATTGGATTCGCTCCTTATGGTGAAGAGTGGAAGGCGATGAGGAAGCTCTCAGTGGTGGAGCTTTTCAGCACAAAGAAGCTAAACTTTTCTAGGTATATCAGAGAGGAGGAGAATGACTTGTTGGTCAAGAAACTGATGGACTCTGCTTCGAGACGATCTCTGGTGAATCTGAAGAGAACGCTTCACACGTTAGTCGGAAGTATTGTATGTAGGATCGGGTTTGGGATAAATCTACATGAGTGTGAGTTCATAGATGAAGATAGAGTCGTGGATCTTGTGCACAAGTCTGAGTTACTAGAGATGACTTCTTTGTTCTCTGACTTTTTCCCGGGAGGGATCGGTAGATTCATGGATTGGTTATCTGGTCAGAAAAAGAGATTGGATCTTGTTTTCTCTGACCTTGACACTTTCTTTCAGAACATTCTCAATGATCATCTTAAGCCTGTGAGAAGAGATGCGGAGAGCTCTGATATAATCAACGTGATGGTCGATATGATGGAGAAGCAGAGAGATGGAGACTCGTTCAAGCTCACTACGGATCATCTCAAAGGAATGATCTCGGTAATGTTTTTTTTTCAGTTTTGAGCAGTGTTCTAAAAATCGGTTTGAACGAAATGATTTTTGCAAACCGATTTTTTATTAATCAGTTTAAAGTCAGCTTAGGCTCTAAACAGAGCATAGCTATTTCTTGAACATCAGTTTTGAGAAAATTTTGTCAACAACTTGTAACTCACGGTATCTGTTATTACCAGGACATATTTGTAGCAGGGGTTAGCACAAGCGCATCCACTATGATATGGGCGATGACTGAGTTGATTAGAAACCCTAGAGTGATGAAGAAAGTACAAGATGAGATTCGGACAACACTCGTGGACAAGGAGAGTCTCAGAGAAGAAGATCTAAACAAGCTTCACTACTTTAAACTAATGGTCAAGGAGATATTTAGGTTACACCCAGCAGCTCCACTTTTGCTACCAAGAGAGACAATGTCTCACATCAAGATCCAAGGCTATGATATTCCCAAAAAGACACAGATCTTGGTCAACGCTTACGCGATAGCACGTGACCCGAACGTGTGGAAGAACCCTGATGAGTTTGATCCTGATAGGTTTTTAGAGAGTTCCGTAGATTACAAGGGAGTAAACTTTGAGCTTTTACCGTTTGGTTCTGGTAGGAGAATCTGTCCAGGGATGGCTATGGGAATCACACTTGTTGAATTAGGGTTATTGAATTTACTTTACTTCTTCGACTGGGGATTGCCGGAAGAGGTAGAAGCTGAGAGGATCATTAAGGACAACGATGTTGCTCTTGACCTCGTTCAAGTTATTCGCCACTGAAAATCTGATAACATTTCTTTTGCAACACGTTGCTACACTAAGCTCAAACTTTCATTAGAAACATCTTTTATGAAACTGTGTTTAATGCTTTCGCTATGCAATTGTCGGTGGCTCAGTTTGTAGGAGTTGAGGTCGGTGAAGCAAGAGTAAAGAGGATTCTGAACTCTGCATTGTCTTTACTTTACTTATGGTGTCTTCATGACACAGGAAACAATCTGCAGAAGCCTCAAGATGATGTATGTAATAAGAATAAAACATGTAAAATTGGTAAGTGTTTTATCTTGCATAATACAAATAAGCCTTGTAAACATTTTTAAGTAGCTGCTTGTTATATGTAATTCAGGGGAATGAAGTCACAAAGCAAGTGCATAGATTAAATATCTGCGTCCAAGATCCACCTTAATAACTGTCTCTCTACTATTTGTGGTAAATAAATCATAAAAACTCACTTAGTCTTTAATAGGAGTATCAACTCATTAGCAACAACCTCGGTTTCAGTTTCTTTTTTGTTTTACTTGTTATTACGCTTAGGCTTTGGCTTGAGGTGTTTCCACAATTTCATCAGATAAACCACACCTTCTTTGAGAGTTGCTTTTCTTCCTTCTTTGAAGTTCCAAAGCTCAGGCACTATGTACCTTCCACTTCCATTGTACTCGTTCCTCTCCATAAGCGCTTGTGTCACAGCTTTAAACACTTCATCACCCAGCTCTTTCTTCAGTTCCTGCAGCTTGTCATCTTCTTCATTCAGCACCTCCTGCAAAACAGAATTGTGTATATATATATTCTAAGAGCATTGTTTAAGAGCGAGAGAAGAAAGAAGAGATGTATTGTTGTTACCTTGTGGATTCCATCTATTAGGACGACCTTAATCGGATGCCAAGCAGAGTCTCTCAAGTGGTTGTCCCATAAGGAACAAAGCTTTGCCGCTTCTACATCAGCTTCTTCTGCTGGATATCTCTCTTTAGCTAGCTTCTGGAACGGTTTCTCATCCAATGCTCCCATTCTCTTCACGGATATCTGAGCACGTACTGTCAACTCATTCATTGACTGCGCATAGCTAAATGTAATTAGCAGCAGATATAGTAAGAAAGACACAGAGAGAGAGTAGTGAGGATGATCTGAGGATTGCTTACTTTGATCAAAGCCTTGCGGGCATCCTGAAGCTCATCATTAGTGTAGCTATGTTTAACAACAAGAGTTTGATAGAGTGACTCTTGGTATTCAGACTCCTCTTCTTTCTCCTTGAGTTTTTCCTTTGTCTTTTCTATCTCTTCCTTCATATCAGGATCTTCCATGTGTCCCATCACCTGCAGGCCACCTCTCATTCGCTCTATCTCCAGCTCCAATGCCAGCTCATCATCCAGTTTTTTCTCCAGATCTTGCACTTTCTTACGTAACTCATCTTTCTCCCTCTTTAAACACAACAGCCAGCTTCAATAGTTATGACCAAAAATCAAACAGACTGCAATCACTGCGCAATCTTTTGCAAAACCCTTACCTGTTGCTGTTTTGCCAAGTTCGTCATTTCTTCATCAGCTTTGTTTTGCTCTTCAGTAGCCATTAAGTTCTGACCAAATATATTTAAAGATCTCAGGAATCATTGCGCAAACTTTATTTAAAAAAGGATTGTACAAAGGATGTTGAACGTTGTTACCTTCTTTTTTTGCCACTGAAGCTTTCGTCGCTCAGTTTTATTCAGTGATTGACATTTATCAAGATATCTCTCCCTCTCTTCAAACTCTCTCCTTTGCTTTTCCAGATGCTGAGCTGCCTTTTCATGTTCATTATAGATATTCGCCAAATAGTCACGCGCCGTTTGCTGCATACTATTCATTTCTAAACATTGAAAAAGTAAAACAAATAAGTAACAGAAAAAATTAAAGTTTCAGTTCATCATCAGTAAGAGAGAAGCATATACTTTCATTATGTGCGTTAATCATATCATCCCTCTCCTTCATACTCTTCTCAAGCGCTGTGCTAGCTTCTTTGTATTTGCTCTCTATTTCTTGAAGGTTACTGCTTTTGGTTTCCAGTGTGTTTTCCAAGGTCGAGACAAGCGTCTTTGCCTTTCTTCGTTGTTCCGCCTCTTTACCAGAAAGAGTCACCAAGTCCCCTTGTTTTTGTCCCCTAAGTTGTTCACCAACCACAGTTTTCGAATAGTAGTCTTCCTTTTTCGCTATCCAACCATAAAGCTCATCACCACGGTCACGTGCAGAATCAAAGTCTCTCTTCCCACATTGATTGACTTCAAAGTGGTTCTCAAACATGGTGGCGTTTCTGAAAGCTTCCCAGTCTTTACCAAAGTGAACAAAAGCAAAACCAGTAAAACCAACTCGGCCGTTCCACAGTGGCTCCACTTTGTGGGGATTAAACCCTTTGCTAACCAGTTCTTCTCTTAATTTGCTTCCACTCTCGCCAGCAAACTTGCCTGTCTTTTCATTAAATGTTCTATTCATGTTGGCCACGATCCCTTTCCATGGATGCACAAACATCAGATCATCATTACCAGCATCCAAAGGATCACGCCTCTGAGGAGCAGACCTAGCACCATGTCCGAGACCAATCTGTTGGACAGTCTTTTCACCCTCTTTAGCACCAGCAGTGAGGCAAGCTCTTTTGGAAGGGTATGTATTGTCTTGGTTGCTCAAAGAGGAGTTGGGTTTAGGAGAAAACATCTGTCTTTCTTCACCACTATGTCCAACAACATCTCCTGAGACAGACTTTGGTTCAACTACAGCAACACATTGTGAACTGGATTCCTCAATGCCTTTCAAATCTCCCTTAAGTCCAGCTTGAGCAATACGTAGGGAATTGGATTTTTCAATGCTGCTATTCAGATCTCCAGCTGCAGAGCTTGATGAACTAGTTATCCAGTTACTGGTTGACTCCTCTTTAGGACGAGACGAGACATCTGACCATGTTGCAGTACCAAGTGGTCTTTCAAGAGGGCGGAGATACTTCTTCATGTATCTCTCAAGTGCGAGATGTCTAGCTACTTGTCGCCCATCCTTAGTGCGGGAACTACCGCCAACGTTGTAAGCATGACGAAGCAAGTCGTCAAAGTTGTAATCACGCTTGCGGTCTATGTAGCAGAAGGGGCACCTGAAGAGAGAGTCAGAGATCTTGACCTTGCGAGTGCCATCTTTCATTTCAGAGTAGTATCTGTACTCCAAATCATCCAGCTCTCTTCGTGAATACATTGCAACCTGCAACAAGAAAACATGTATATATACACACAGTAAGCTTAAAAACACAAAGAAGTAAAGGAAATGGTTATGTTTGTAACTAATTAGTGAACCCTAAGCCTGAGATTCACTATCCCAGTTACAGAAACATACTAAAAAAAAGTTCACATCTTTGGAAAGATCAGATAAAACAACACAGGAGATCATAAAAGACACGAAATTTAGTGACAGTGAGCTCAGAACACAAAACACATTTGAAAACCCTAATTTAATGGCTCTGTTTGTGACTAACAAACCTGAAATTCACTAACTCAGTTACAGTAGCCTACTAAAAAAGTTCACAACTTTGGAAAGATCAGAGTAAGAAAACAACACAGGAGATCACAAAGACGCGAAATTTAGTGACAGTGAGCTCAGAACGCAAAACCCATTTAAAACCCTAACTCAATAGCTCTGTTTGTGACTAACAAACCTGAGATTTACTAACCCAGTTACAGAAAGTTACTAAAAGTTCACAACTTTGGAAAGCTCAGAGTAAGAAAACAACACAGGAGATCCCAAAGACACGAAATTTAATGACAATGATCTCAGAACACAAAACCCATTTGAAAACCCTAACTTAATGGCTCTGTTTTTGACTAACAAACCTGAGATTTACTAACCCAGTTACAGAAACATACTAAAAAAAGTTCACAACTTTGGAAAGATCAGAGTAAGAAAACAACACAGAAGATCACAAAGACTCGAACTTTAGTGAGGCTGAGCTACAGAACGCAAAACCCATTTAAAACCCTAACTCAAATCAAACGACATTTCGCTAACTTAAAGAGAAGATCAGAACAAAGATGACATTTTTAACTCTTCTACAAAGCTTAAAACACGAAGAAAGAGAGATCCATAACTGTACTAAACACGTAAAGCGACGAAAAGAAACGAAACCCATTCGGAAAAGTTTAGAAAGGAGACATTTTGCAGATGACTGTAGATACAATTTAAGGCGAAGTGTGAGGGAAACAAGCGAGAGAAGAGAGATGCGAAACCTTTGGGAGAGCGAAGAGTATGGCGACGAACGAGTGAGTCTCCGTGGGGCAGGTGGACACGTAAGCTTGTTAGAGTGGAAGGAAAAAGTGAGACGAAATGTGCAGTGGCAAACAAACACGTCTATTGTGTGCTTAATCCTTTTGCGCGTGCATAGGAATGGTTTTTCGTATACCAACTCTAACCAGAATAAACCAATTATTATTGGCTTAACCGGAATTGAATAGCTTTGGTTTGGTCTAATCTTTCATACCGAAATAATCAGAGTTGAAATAGAACAGTCAGAAATTAGTCTTCAGCATTTTACTCACATCCAAAAATCTTAAGTAAAATCAACCGAAAAAAAACAATCCAAAACTTTATGAAAACATATATTAACTTTCTAGTAACAGATCCGGATTTGATTATAAACACCAATCCAAATAATCAGGTTTAGTAAAAACTACTTAAAAACCGATAAAAACCCAACTTGAAAATTTGAATGCTCAGGACTGTGTTTTTAAAATACTTCTACTTATAGTTTAGTTGTAGTTAAACTTTAATTTCTTCATAAAATTTATAATATGAATAGTAAAATTTGGAGTTAAATTTTTTTAGTTCAATGATTTATGATTTATTTTAAACTTTAGATATTCAGGTGAAAAGAATTAGAAAACTGATAATGCTTAATTTTCTTCAGGTATTTATAGGAGTAAAACATATCAAAAACCAAACTAAACCGAACTGACATTTTTTTTTTTTGAACTGACATTTTAAGATCATCATTTATCTAAAACCATCCAAGAAACTGAGAATGGGACTTTTAGAAGATTCAACAACAATAGTCTAAGGAATCAAACCAGGACTAAAAAAGAAGACTCATACACTGATGATGAACTCTCACTCATTGATAATTTGACATCCTGGAGAACGTTTTGTGAGTTTATTAACTTTCTCGTATACGTTCTGATCATAAGCCGCTGGGCTCAGAATGAGTTTCTTCAGTACAGCTGAGTTTTCAAGAAAGTAACTGGCTACTTTCATCTTCCCTTCCTCCCATTCAAACTTATCTTTTATCTCAACACACTCAAGAGTCGTTGAGACACACCGTGGCACATCTGTGAGTTCCAATTCCTCCTCCCACTCCTCTGAATGAACAACCTTCTGCAAACGCACATACACACACACACACACAAAAACTAAGTTTTCAAAACTACACATCCATAACTCGACAGTTTTAATAAGGGACAGTATGTTCTACCAAGACTAGGTGTTTCAGATTCGGGCAACACTCGAGAAAGACTGGCAGAAACTGTAACAAGTGGCTAGGGAACACTGCTTCTAAACGGGATAAGTTGTTGAATTTAGGAATCATTCCTACTTGTGAGTAGCGAACAAGAGCCTGCAAGACGAATATATATATATATATAATACAAGCAAGTAAGAGGTTTTGAATAAGACCAAACTCGACAACAAACACTACCTTCACTGTTTCCGCAGAGATGATCATATCTCTAACACTCGATAGCCCATTGAGAAAATCACCGATTTCATTTCTCTTTGCTAAGTTCCAGGGATTAAAGAACACGCCAAACTCGACAACAAACTTGATATCAAGGTCAACCACCAACAAAGAAGTCAGGTTCTTTACCACAATAATGCTATCAAATTGATCTTCTCCGAGACTCATATACTCTAGCCCTGGAGCATCAATCTCAAGTGTGCAGTTCACTACTGAACTGCAATTCCTTCCGTGCTTAAGCGGCACACGAAACTTCTTCAAGCTCTGAGACCTCACCCGCATAACCCCAAATTCAACATTCCTAAGTGCATAGTCATCATCCAGATCCCTAACCAAAGTCAGCTCTTCAAGAACAGGACACCCTGACACGAGTTTCTCCAGATGCACACGCCACTTAACTTCTTCAAGATGCATGAATTTAAGACAAGGCATGAAAACAAAAGCAGGATCCCTAAGACCAGAAGACGAGAGCTTCAAGTAAACCAATGTCCTGCTCGTGTAGAGATTCATAGGCATCATGTCAACAATAGGATAGGGAAATTTGTCGTCCTCTATATAATAGGTACTGCTCTCAACATCGAGATGTTGTGTCCCCCGGTTAATCATTATACCCATCCGATCCCTGAACCCATCTATCATCGCGTCTCTGCACTTAACCTTAACTTTAAACAGACTTGACTCAGGGCTAAACTCGAGAAGCTTGTCAATGAAGCTTAAGAAGCTTAAGAGCACTTCATCGGCATCATAAGGAATAACATTATAAGAGCAATCTAAGTCAAGACTGGGAACACTTAGCCACAGATTCTCCCATCTCTTAGACAAAACACTTGTCTGCACCGATTGTTTTGTCGGAAGGTATGAGAGTATATGAGTAAGCAAAGATTCCGGCAACTCGCTGATCCTATCGCGCCCAGACATCACGAGAACCAAACCCTAAGAGCATCAACAAGAACCAAACAAAAGAGATCTTGATCAAGTCCTATGCGGTTGAGACTACAAAGGAAACGAAAGACTAGTAGATGGGTTTTGAAGAACTCACTGTGGATTGGGTTTGATTTGCCGGCGGCGGGAGTGATCGAAAGTGAGATAGCAAAGTGGTAACTTTTTGGTGTGACAAACGGTACCTATATCGTTTAGTATATTTTTATACGTTTGAAGCGGTTACGGTTCCATCTTCAAAAGAGCCTTTCAAAAATAAAGGCTCTCTTTATTGTATACACTATTAATTAGAGATTTCTTTTGATAAAATAAACCTTTTCTTGGTTATATGTCATTGGAAAATTCATGAAAATCGACTTTAATAATTGATTATTTAAGCAAAAGTACATATTTTCCATTATCAATCATAGGAAACTAATCCACTCTTTCGCACGGATATATAATTTTTTATAATAAATTTTCAAACTGTTTTAACAATACAGTAACTATATATATATAATAATTATTATTATATTTTCATTTTATTTTTCCATTTTAAAATTATTTTATTTTCTCATATATTTATTAAGTTTTTTATCATACACAAATTGTAAGATATGTTACAGAGGTAAACCGACCATAAATTAATAAGAAATCAAATCAATAACTAATTATTTTTTCCCTATAAAAGGTAATGAAGTCAGCGGAAAACAAAAAAAAAACATGTATGTTGTTATTTTTTTTGTTCAACAACATGTATGTTGTTGTGTATACACAATGATGGTGGTGTATATGGGGATTAAAAGCATGTGTTGTTAAAAAATTAAAATGCATAAGAAATGGTGTGTTGGTCAGAAATTAAAAGAAGCTGTGAAGAATGTTTCATTCAGAAATTAAAAGTGATATATCAAACAATTAAAAGTTTGTGTCGTTCAAATTTTTTTAAAGGAAATATGAAAGGTTAAATTGTTTAAAGTTTAAAATATTACTTTTGGAGTTTAAAAGATTATGTTCAATTATGTTTGATTGTTTTAGATACATTTGAGATATTCATATGAAAAAACTAAAATTAAATAAATAATACTTAAAATATTTGCATATTTAAATATATAAAACCAAACTTAAGTCAATGAAATGAAAAATTTCAATTCTACCATAAGTTTGATACCATTTTTCAAATTTATCATTAGTAAAAAACTATTTTTCATTAAGATGGAGGAATGTCCGAAGGGAGGGGAGGTATGACATTTCGCCCCGGGGATTCTAACTATCATATATATTGATAAGATGAAGTGCATTTTTTGGAATTGTCGGGGGGCAAATAAACCTCAGTTTCGTAGATCGATTAGATACTTGGTGAAGAAGTTCCCAACGGATATTCTAGCTGTGTTCGAGACTCATGCGGGTGGAGATAATGCAAAGAAAATTTGCCAGGGATTAGGGTTCGGGAATTCTGTGAGAGTTGACTCGTGCGGGCAGAGCGGAGGGTTATGGCTGTTATGGAGGGAGGAAGTGGGTGACCTCGTGGTGGTTAAGTCCACGAACCAATTTATCCACGCGAGGATTGGTAGTGGGACTGAAATGTTGAGCTTGATTGTGGTGTATGCTGCGCCTACTGCGAGTAGGAGGAGGGGTTTATGGGCGGAGCTGCAAGAGGAAATAAATAATATTGATATCCCGGTATTTATAGGTGGAGATTTCAATACAATAGTGAGACTGGATGAGCGATCTGGTGGGAATGGAAGCTTGTCAGATGACTCATTAGATTTTGGAGACTGGATTAATGAGTGTTCCTTGATAGACATGAGATTTGGAGGAAGCCAGTTCACTTGGAGAAGAGGGAAAACAGCAAGAACTTTTGTCGCGAAAAGATTGGACAGAATTTTTTGTTGCGCACAAGCAAGAATGAAGTGGCAAGAAGCTAGAGTTACTCATCTACCTTTTCTAGCGTCGGATCATGCGCCTCTCTATTTACAGTTGACGTCAGAGAGAAAAGCTAATACGAGGCAAAGACCATTCCGGTTTGAAGCAGCGTGGCTGCAACATAGCGAGTTTAAGGAGCTGGTAGCATCGTCATGGAATCGGGACATTGATACGAAAGAAGCTTTGAGAAGGCTTGGTGGCATATTGAGAAGATGGAATAAAGAAGTATTCGGGAATGTCCAGAGGAAGAAGGAGAGTTTGTTTCTGGAGATTAAAGACCTTCAGGATAAGATTGAACAAGACAGCTCAGACGAACTGCTAGCTAAAGAGAATGAGATCCTCAAAGAACTGGAAATAGTTCTGGAACAGGAGGAAGTAATTTGGTTCCAGAAATCTAGAGAGAAGTGGGTGGTGCACGGGGATAGAAATACAAATTTCTTTCACATGTCAACAATAATAAGGAGGAGGAACCGTATTGAGATGTTAAAGAATGATAATGACCAGTGGGTATCGGATCCGCAAGAGTTGCAGGACTTGGCGGTGAGCTATTTTGAGAAGCTCTATTCACTAGAGGGTGTTAATACTGAAACGAGAGGACTGTCAGTGAGGAGATTCGTGAACTTGAATACCCAGGAGTATAACAATCTTAATAGAGAGTTCACGAAAGGGGAAGTGGAGCGAGCTATAAGTGAGATGGGGAGCTTTAAAGCACCGGGTCCGGACGGTTTTCAACCTATATTCTATCAGAGATGTTGGGAAATAGTTGGGGAATCAGTGACTCGATTTGCTACGAACTTCTTTGCGACGGGTAAGCTACCAGAGGGGACTAATGATGTGTTAGTCGTGTTGATCCCTAAGGTGAGTAAGCCGGAGAGTATAATGCAGTTTCGACCGATCAGCCTTTGTAATGTGCTTTTTAAGGCTATAACCAAGACTATGGTGGGGAGGTTAAAGGGAATTATGAATAAGCTGGTTGGTCCTGCTCAATCAAGTTTCATACCAGGGAGGTTAAGTGCTGATAATATTGTTGTGGTACAAGAGGCTGTACACTCGATGCGAAGAAAGAAGAGACGTAAGGGATGGATGTTGTTAAAGCTAGATTTGGAGAAGGCTTATGATCGACTGAGATGGGATTTCCTGGAGGACACTTTACGGGCGGCAGGACTGCCGGAGGCATGGGTTGGAAGAGTTATGGAGTGTGTGGCAGGACCGGAGATGTGTATCTTATGGAATGGTGAGAAGACAAAGTCATTCAAGCCACTGCGTGGGTTAAGACAGGGAGATCCTCTGTCTCCGTACCTGTTTGTTTTGTGCATGGAGAGACTATGCCACTTAATAGAGGAAGCTGTGGAGGAGAAGCGATGGAAACCGATTAGCCTCTCCAGAGGTGGCCCGAAGTTATCACATATCTGCTTTGCAGATGATTTAATATTATTTGCGGAAGCCTCAGTGACGCAAATAAGGGTCATAAGAAGAGTTTTGGAGAAGTTCTGTGTAGCATCAGGGCAGAAAGTCAGCCTCCCAAAGTCGAAAATCTTTTTTTCCAGTAATGTTACAAGGGAAAGAGGGGAGAGAATAAGCCGAGAAAGTGGGATCGCATCTACTAGGGAGTTGGGAAAATACCTAGGAATGCCGATTTTACAGAAAAGAATTAATAAGGACACTTTTGGCGAAGTACTTGAGAAGGTTGCATCACGTCTCTCAGGTTGGAAGAAACAAACTCTCAGCCTAGCTGGACGAGTGACAATGACAAAAGCCGTGCTGTCCTCGATCCCCGTCCATACGATGAGCACTATTAGCCTACCAGCAAGTACAATTGAGAAGTTGGAAAGCCTGTCAAGAAGCTTTGTGTGGGGCAGTGGGCAGCATCTTGTTGCCTGGGATAGAATATGTAAACCAAGGTGCATGGGAGGTCTTGGGATTCGTAAGGCAAGAGACGTGAACAGAGCGCTAATAGCTAAAGTAGGTTGGAGGCTGCTACATGACCGGAATAGCTTATGGGCCCAAGTAGTTCGTAAGAAATACTCGGTGGGAAATGTACATGACACATCTTGGATGAGAGTGAGAAGGGACGGATCATCTACTTGGAAGAGTATAGTCTTGGGGATAAGAGAAGTGGTGATGGCAGGACACGGGTGGGTTATTGGTGATGGGAGAGAGACTTCTTTCTGGTCGGACAGATGGATTGCTGAACATACACTCAAGGAGGTTGCGGTGGCTGAACTACCAGAGGGTTATGAAAGAATAACAGTACGGGAGATGTGGGTAGAAGGAAGAGGTTGGGATCATACGCGGATTCTTCCTTTTGTGTCACAAGAGGCTTGGTTGGAACTGGGAGCAGTAGTGGTTGACACGAGTGACGTAGCCATGGATCGATTGAAATGGTGTTACACTACGAATGGGCAATTTACTGTGAGTTCAGCTTATACGTTTTTAACGCGAGACGGAATGCAGAGACAAGACATGAGTAGCTTCTTTCGAGCGTTGTGGAGAGTTGTTGCACCGGAGAGGGTAAGGATGTTTCTGTGGCTAGTTAGCCAGCAGGCTATTATGACAAATGCAGAACGGCGTAGGAGACATCTCAGCGGAACAGACATGTGCCAAGTGTGTAAAGGAGGAGTAGAGACAATCTTACATGTGCTGAGAGATTGTCAGGCAATGAGAGGCATATGGGAAAGATTGGTCCCAGAGAATAAGAGGAATATTTTCTTCTCATTACCTCTACTTGAATGGTTGTGGCGTAATCTGAATGTAAGCGATACAGGGACCGGAATACCGTGGGGAACAAACTTCGCACTCGCAGTGTGGTGGGGATGGAAATGGAGATGTGGGAATGTTTTTGGAGAGAAGAAGTTATGGAAGGATAGAATTGGTTTTTTAAGGAATTTGGCGAAGGAAGTGACGGTAGCTAACGAGAGAGAGATGAAGGGGAAGGGAGATGTAACGAGGTCTGCAGTATTGGTAGGATGGAAGCTGCCTCAGGAGGGATGGATGAAAGTTAACACGGATGGAGCTTCAAGAGGAAACCCGGGTTTGGCTAGTGCAGGAGGGGTCTTGAGAAATGGGGAAGGAGAGTGGTGTGGAGGGTTTGCGGTTAATATAGGAAGATGTAGTGCTCCGCTGGCTGAGGTTTGGGGAGTATATTATGGCCTTGTTCTTGCCTGGGAGAAAGGAGTTAGAAGGCTGGAGATAGAAGTGGATTCGAAGGTGGTGGTGGATTTTCTGACGATAGGGATTGAAGATACTCATCCCTTATCTTTCCTAGTACATTTGTGCTATGGCTTTCTAAAGAGGGACTGGTTGGTCCGAGTTGTTCATGTGTATAGGGAAGCTAACCGCGTTGCCGATGGTCTAGCTAACCTTGCTTTTTCGTTGTCTTTTGGTTTTCATAAGTTTGATGTTGTTCCCATTGAGGTTGCTAGTCTGATACAAGATGATATTGATGGACCTCTCCGGTCTCGTCTAGTACGTTTATAGTTGGTTCTTGAGTTTTTTTAATAAAGGTTGGGAGTGTACCTCCCACATTCTTACCAAAAAAAAAATCATTTATCTAAAAGACATAAAAGAAACTGAGACTAGGACTTAACAAAAAAAAAGAAGAAGAAGATCTGCAGTCATAGTGAAAGTGAAGAACTTGTATCAGCACCAATGTTCACAAGGAATCCAACCAGAACTAAGAAGAAGACTCATCAAATGACAACCACCTCCTCCATGGCTCGAATGATAATTTCACATCCAGCAGAACGTTTTGTCAGTTTATTAACCTTCTCACATATTTCTGATTCCAAAACATCACGAGGATCATAAGCTCTAGGGCTCAAAATGAGTTTCTTCAGTACTGCCGAGTTTCCAAGAAAGTAACTGGTCACTTTCATCTTCCCTTCCTCCAAATCAAGTTTTTCTTGTATCTCAATACACTCAAGAGTCGATGACACACACCGTGGCACATCTGTGAGTTCCAATCCCTCATTCATCTCCTCTGAATGAAGAACCTTCTGCAAACACACACACACACACACACAAGAGGCTGAGTTTTCAATAATACACATATCTATAAAAACATAAAGGACAATAATAATGGTTTTACCAAGACCAGGTGCTTCAGATTCGGGCAACACTCAAGAAAGGCTGGCATAAACTGTAACAAGTGGCTAGGTAACACTGCTTCTAAACGGGATAAGTAGTTGAATTTAGGAATCATTCCTACTTTTGAGTAACGATCAAGGGCCTGCAGCAAGAAGAAACGGATACATAATATAAGTATGAGGTTTAGAATAAAAGACAAAAAGTATATGAGTTGTTGTATGAATACATATACCTTCACTGTTTTCGCAGAGATGATCATATGTCTTACACTCAATATCCCATTGAGAAAATCACGGATTTGAATTCTCTTTGACGCATCCCACGGATCAAAAAACTCTCCAATGTTGACAACAAACTTGATATCAAGCTCAACCATCAACAAAGAAGCAAGGTTTTTTACCACAATAATGCTATCAAACTGATCTTCTCCTAGACTCATATACTCTAGCCCTGGAGCATCAATCTCAAGTGTGCATTTCACTTCCGAATTGCAATTCCATCTTTGCTTAAGCGGTGGCACACGAAACTTCTTCAGGCTCTGAGACCTCACACGCATAACCATAAATTCATCATGCAAACGTGCATACTGATCATCCAAATCCCTCACCAAGATTAGCTCCTCAAGAACAGGACACCCTGAAAGAAGCTTCTCCAGATGCACACGCCATTTAACTTCTTCAAGATGCATGTATTTAATACAAGGCATGAAAACAAAACCAGGATCAGCAAGACCAGAAGACGTGAGCTTCAAGTAAACCAATGTCTTGCTCGTGAAGAGATTCATAGGCATGAACTCGACGCAAGGTAAGGCAATATCAGGAATGTCATCATCTATATAATCGGTACTGCTCTTAACATCTAGATGTTGTGTTCCACGGCTAATCATTGTTCCGAGACGATCCATGAACCCATCTATCATCGTGCCTCTGCACTTTATCTTGACTTTTAACAGACTTGACTCAGGGCTAAACTCGAGAAGTTTGTCAATGAAGCGTAAGGGCATTTCATCAGCATCGTAAGGAAATACAGAGCAGTTTAAGTCAAGAACGGGAACGCTTAGATAAAGATTCTCCCATCTCTTAGACAAAACACTTGTCTGCACCGATTGTTTTGTCGGAAGGTATGAGAGTATTTGAGTAAGCAAAGGTTCTGGCAACTCGCTGATCCTATCACGCCCAGACATCACGAGACGAAACCCTAAGAGCATCAACAAACAACAACAACCTATTAAAAGAAAGTAACGTTGAGTTTTCTCTAATCAATCACAAGACTTGAGACTACAAATGAAACGAAAGATTCAATGGGTTTCTGAAGAACTCACCGTGGATTTGGGTTTGAGTCGCCGACGGATTGTATCGGCGGGAGTGATCGATAGTGAGATAGCAAAGTGGTAACTTTTGGTGTGACACGGTACCGATACCGTTTAGTATTTATATGTTTGAAGCGGTTCGGTTCCATCTTCAAAAGAGCGTTTCAAAAATAAATGCTATCTTTATTGTATATTATATATTTCTTCTTAAAAAAAAAAATTCTTTTAGTCAAGAAATTTTTTGTTGCTTATCGGCTCATTGTTATGTAAACAAATGATAAAAAGTCACCATAATTTTTTCTAAAAATAGTTTGAGTTTCGGTCTAGGATATTCCCATGTTAATCAATCCATTTGGATAGGGATTAAATTAGTAATTTATAGAAGCAAAGGACACTATATATTGTTATCACTCGTACATAATAATAAGATTTAATATAGAAATATTTTTGATTTTATTATTCACTTGCAATAAATAATTGTAAGACTTTTGGAGCGGTTGGAGTTAGATTGAATCGGATGGATACACTGTCTCTCTTTAATCATTGACGTATGATTTAGATACAAACAACCCTTGATTTTTGCTAAAGTTGCCGTGTGGATATCATCAAATGATTATTTAAATCATACAATACGTTTTCCGATGCCACTAAAGATAAAACAAATCAAATAATGGGTCTATATAGGGGTGAGCACGGATCAGATATCCGATTTTTTTAAGGTATTTGTGATTTGCTTCGAATGTTACGGATATCTAATTTTGGTATTTGCTTTGCTTCGGAAAAATACGGATATCCGAAAAGACAGATATCCGGAAAATAAATAGATATTTGCGGATATTTACGAATATTTACGAATATCTCATCCATTTTAAATAGTACAAATAATCTTAAGATTTTGATACAAATTTGCTTTGCAAAAATATTTTTTTGCAAATTATATAAAATAAAACTTAAAAGAACTAGTGAATTTATAGATTTTGTAATTTTTTAAAGTTTAAGTTACAATTATAATAACACAAAATTTAAGAAAAAGTATAATTGTCAAAAATATTTTATCTCTTTTATGTAATACTTTTATATAAGTAATAATAATTTGAATAGAATTGTTCAAATCATGTGCTAAATTAATAATTTTATAATTTTATACAATTAAAATTTTAAATATAATCAAAATATACATATATTTATATATTTACGGATCGGATCGGATATCCGCTTTCCAAAATTTTAATATTTGTGATTTGCTTCCATTTTAACGAATATTGAATTTTAGTATTTGCTTTGATTCGAAAGTTTACGGATATCCGGAATTTTCGGATCGAATCGAAACGAATAACCGATAACGGGTCGAATCAAATATAACGGATAAAATGCCCAGCCCTAGATCTATATATTCAGCTTTATCTTAAGCTCAGCTCCTTCATCCCAAACACAATCAGGAAGAAAGAAACAATGTCAACCCTCCTCTACTTTCTCTATCTCTTACCTATCTTCCTACTTTCCTTTTTCATCATATCAAAAAAGCTCAAACCCTCGAAATGGAAACTTCCTCCAGGCCCCAAGACGCTTCCCATCATCGGAAACTTACACAACCTCAAAGGCTTGCCTCACGCATGTTTTCGCAACCTCTCCCAAACCTACGGTCCAGTGATGCTCATCCGTTTCGGCTTCGTCCCCGTGGTCGTAATCTCATCGAGAGAAGGAGCCGAGGAAGCTCTCAAGACCCAAGATCTTGAATGTTGCAGCCGACCAGAGACGGTCGCGTCAAGAATGGTCTCTTACAACTTCAAAGACATAGGCTTCGCTCCTTACGGTGAGGAATGGAAAGCGTTGAGGAAGCTCGTGGTCGTGGAGCTTTTTAACATGAAGAAGTTTCAGTCTTTTAGTTACATAAGAGAACAGCAGAATAACTTGTTGGTCAAGAAACTTAGAGAAGCGGCTCGTACGCGATCTCCTGTGAATTTGAAGAAGACTCTTTTCACTCTTGTCGCGAGTATCGTGTGTAGGCTCGCGTTCGGGATAGATATTCACAAGTGCGAGTTTGTAGACGAGGACAACGTTGAGGATCTTGTTCACAAGTTTGAGTTGGTCAGTGAAGGTATTGCTTTCTCTGATTTTTTCCCTGGAGTGGGTTGGCTTATTGACCGAGTTTCCGGACAGAACAGAGCATTGAAGAATGTTTTTTCTGGACTCGACATGTTCTTCCAGAACATTCTTGATGATCATCTTAAACCTGGAAGAATCGTCTCAGAGAATCCTGATGTTGTTGATGTGATGGTTGACTTGATGAGGAAGCAAGAGAAAGATGGAGACTCTTTCAAGCTCACCACAGATCATTTCAAAGGAATCATCTCCGTAAGTCTTCTTCTAAACTTTTTAAATAAGGCCGGCTCTTAGATGCTTGAAACCATTACTAAATAGTTAATACATACTCCCTCTTCTCTTTATTTCATAATAAGTGTCGTTTTAAATTTCGGTAAATAAATTAAAGAAACAATAAATTTTGTATATTTTTCATATTAAAACACAATTACCTATACACCTAACCTTATTTTAACCAATAGAAAAATAAATTACAAGATAAAATTAATAAATTTTGCATTGAAAACCGAAAACAACACTTAATTTAAAACAAAAAAATTTCTCTAAAACAACACTTAATTTGAAACAGAGGGAGTACTAACTACTAATATTTTATAGACACAGAACAATGTTTAATTTGGCTATTGTTGCGAACAAAGCAAAATAACTCTAAGTAACAAGAACAAAAACTTCAGGGAGTTAAACAAATTGAGGCAAATATCTGTTTAGAATTTGATTATATGAATGAATAAATTTCCAACTTTTAGATCCATATTTATATTATCCTAAAAATATGTTTTGTTTTTACTTTAGTAATATATCTTTCTTTAGTAAAGTTTTTTATTGACAACATTTTGCTGAATTTTTTCCGGTCCAACGAATGTTAGGGTTTTATTAGTACATAAAGATTTATGATATTTCCAAAATTAACAGCTATGGTTAAGACTGCTCAAAAACATTTGAACTTAATGAGTCTCCCTTTTGTATTAGGACATATTTCTTGCGGGAGTAAACACAAGCGTGATCACATTGATATGGGCCATGACTGAGCTGATCAGAAACCCTAGAGTGATGGAGAAGGTACAAGCCGAGATTCGGACAACACTTGGGGACAAGGAGAGTCTAACAGCAGAAGATGTAAACCATCTTCACTACTTCAAGCTCGTGGTCAAGGAGACATTCAGGTTACATCCAGCAGCTCCACTCTTACTCCCAAGAGAGACAATGTCTCACATCAAGATTCAAGGCTACGATATCCCCAAGAAATCTCAGATGATGATCAACATTTACTCGATCGCACGCGATCCAAAACTCTGGACAAACCCTGATGAGTTTAACCCTGACAGGTTTCTCGACAGTTCTGTGGATTACAGGGGATTGAATTTTGAGCTTTTACCGTTTGGTTCTGGTCGGAGAATCTGTCCAGGGATGAATATGGGAATCGCCACCGTGGAGTTGGGGCTGTTGAATTTGCTCTACTTCTTTGACTGGGCGGTGCCTGAAGGGAAGACTCTGAAAGATATCGACTTGGAAGAAACTGGTGCGCTCATTATCAGCAAGAAAACAACTCTTGAGCTTGTTCCACTTCTTCATAACATAAACAAGTAGTCGATAAGATATTATGTACATGAACTCAGTTTCTTTTTTTTCTTACTGGTTGTTTTGTCTGAATTTAATTCACTTTGTACAATAGATTAAACATATTAAGTAGAACTAAATCTTGTATGTCTTAAATTAAATACGTCAGTTATGACCGAATTTGTAGCTTGAACCCACCCAACCTTATAAATTACTTGGTTTATGTTTAGTTATATAATTTCAAAAAAAAATGAGTTTTTGAGGAAAAAAATCCATTTAATCTTAGAGATATTTAGACTTAAATTTGTTTGGGTAAAAACCGGCTTGAAAAATCTAAAACTTTACATATATTCCTGTAAATGGAGCAATTTTTTAAAACATTTTGTTTTATTAAAGTTGGTTAAACCCATTATATCATAGAAAAAAATTTAAAGATGAAATATAAAGAAAAAAAACTAATGATTTTTTCCTTATTAGAAATAGCTAAGATAATATTAAAGACCTATTAACAGACCATGCCAATCTTATTTGAGTCTTAATAACTACAGAGAGTAGAACTGTAGAAGCAGCATTCTACTTTCTACCGCATTAATCTCAGTGATGTTGATGTTGTTTTAGCTGGCGTCAACGTAACCAACAAACAAACGACTTTTGGATCAAAGTCATTCTTAAATTTGAATGTGTTACGTGTTCCCCTCTAACAACATGTGTCATGAATGAATCGTTACGAAGTTTTGTCACCATCCAAGAAAAAGTCTAATTTGATTATCTTTACATTGTCTAAGACGTTTTGTTTTAAAAAATCATTTCTAACTTGTCTTTATATATTTCCCATATTCAAAACTCTGTTTCCGCCAACCAACGAAAAACAAAACAGAGCATAACAACAATGACAATCTTCCTCTGTTTCCTCTGTTTCTTATTCATTTTCATAGTTTCATTAGTCCTTTTAGAAATTTTCAAACTCTCAAAACCTAAGCTTCAACCAAGACAAGACAATCCTCCTCCGGGACCAAAATGGCTTCCGTTCACCGGCGTCTTTCACTGTTTCAACCAAAAGTTTCATTTATTTTTTCACAATCTTTCTCAAAAGTATGGGCCAGTGATGCTTATCCGTATTGGAATAGACATGGTCGTGATCTCATCTAAAGAAGCAGCAGAGGAGTATCTTCAAGGTTGCAACCGACTAGAGACTGTCGGGTCTCAACTCTTCTCATACAACTTCAAAGTCTCACGATTCGCGCCTTCCGGTGAAGAATGGGAAACTTCAAGGTACCTTGCCATGATCAAACTCTTTAGCACGAAGACTCAGTCTTTCAGGTATATCAGAGAGCAAGAGAGTGACTTGTTCGTCAAGAAACTGTCTGAATCTGCTTCGAAACGATCTCCAGTGAATCTTACAAAGACACTTTTCACATTGGTCTCTAATATTACGTTTAGAGTCTTATCCGGAAAAAATCTCAAGGAGTGCAAGTTCATCGATGAAGATAGTATCAGGGAACTTGTGAAGAGGTTTGATATGGTCACTGAGTATTGTCCCTTCCTTGAAATGCTCCCTTGTGGACTTGGTTGGCTCATTGATGAAATGTTCGGTTCGTGTAAGAGATCGAAAAGGGTGTTTTCGGAACTCAGCACTTTCTTTCAGAGCGTTCTTGATGAGCGTCTGGAGGCTGGAGGAATGGTATTAGAGAACATGGATATCATCGACCTCTTGATAGATATGGTGAAGAAGCAAGAGACCGACATAGATTCAATCAACCTCACAACTGAATATCTCAAAAGCATAATCACAGTAAGTTCTAACTTGTAGTAAACCCAGTGAATTCCACAGTAGTCACTAACTTTATAAATGTTACTTGTTTGTGTTTGTGTCAGGACATGTTTCTTGCACAGGTTAATACAAGTGTCACAGCTTTGGTCTGGGCGATGGCAGAGCTTAGTAGAAACCCGAGAGTTATGAAGCAAGTGCAAGACGAGATTAGGACAAAGCTTGGGGACAAGAAGGAGAGGGTTACAGAAGCTGATCTAGACCAGCTTGACTACTTGAAGCTCGTGGTTAAAGAGACATTCAGGTTACATCCTTCCATCCCATTTTTGCCTCCAAGTGGCGCGTCATCTGGAGACAAGATCCAAGGCTATGATATCCCCAAGAACGCCCTGATCATGATCAATATCTATGGGATCGCACGTGATCCAAAAGTCTGGACAGACCCTGATGAGTTTAATCCGGATAGGTTTATCAACAGTTCTATAGATTACAAAGGACTTGAGTTTGAGCTATTACCGTTTGGTTCTGGTACGAAAATAAGTCCTGAGATGAGGATGGCCACAGTAGAATTGACACTGCTGAACTTGCTCTACTTCTTTGATTGGGAACTGCCACATGGTAAAAAGGGTAAGGACATGGACTTGGAAGAAACTGGATTTATCACTCTCAGCAAGAGAACAGCTCTTGAACTAGTTCCTGTTCTTCATCAATGAATCTAAATACTCAACAAGAAAGAAAGAAAGAATGTTTCCTTAATTCAGCTTCTTCTGTTTGTTTGTTTTTTCTTTCAAATAGTGGTGTGTGACATTGTACATTCTATAAGTTTTTTTTATCTAACTAATGATACATAAAATCAATAATAGTCTCTGTAATAGTTGTTCCCCTGGTAACGTTGATTGTTGCTCTGAGGAACTTCTTCTTCAGCTAATAATCAGCTGTAATCTCAGCAGACAAAGTATACTTTGTCATAGTTCTTCCTACAGGCTCCTTGAGATACGTTTGGTCATCCAAGTAAGCCGTGATATCGGTTATGATCGTCCGTAGATTCGATGCGTCCTTTCTCGCCTTCAGCCTCGGCAGAAAATGCTCTCTGACAATGTTGACAACTTTCAGGAACTGAGATCTGTACCTCTGGTGAAGACCAAACCCTGCCATCTACACACCAAACATATACAATAGTTATGAGTCAAAGATATATTTTATGCTCAGAATGGGTTTGTTTATAATAATCAAAGCATTCTTGGGACCTGGAGAAATGAGTTTAAAGCAGTTGCGGAAGCTCTGGTGGCTGAGGTTTTGTTAAGGAACCGGGCAAGCCAAGCCCATCCGTGTTCAATCCCATGAACGTTACGCCCATTATTGTTCTGATCATTACAAAAATAGAAGAAGAAGACTCAATTGATATGTAAAATAGGTACAAGACATATAGTTGAATAAAGACTCAAAAAAAGACCTGAACAAGTGCACCGTAGAGTCTCATTGTGGAATCTAGTTGTTCATATCCGTCTGAGTCCCATGCTGACTGAATAATTAGAGAGAAGATTATTAACAATGGTTTCTTTTTAACAATTTGGGTCAGGGTCCTTTACTTAAAAGAAGATTAGTTAGTTACCTGTGAGTTAAGAGTATGCTTTGGAACAGTGTAAATGCAAGCTTTGTGGAATTCCGCTAGAACAATATCCATTGCTTCTGGAAACTGTGTGCATCAAAGGTAGATGATATTCTAACAGCAAAAGAGAGTTTTTAACTACAGAACCAACAAAAAAGAATTATAGGATCTTGCACCTGCGAGGTGACGTAAACGATGACGTAGCTGCCTGCAAAATGATCTTTAGCGGAGACTATCTGAAAGAATCAACAAAAGTTAATGCCATCAGTCCCAGTTTTTTTTTAATCACAAGCGTCCAGCGGAATGTAGTCAAAGATATGAACATATCAAAGAGTTGTTCTCCAGTTTGACCAGAGCACAAGAATCTGAGTCTATTTTAACATCTAACATAAACAAACAGGTGGCCTTTTAACAGAACAAAAAATACAAGTTACCTTCTTCGCAAAAGTTGCAATACTGATGGACACCGGACAACGAGGGTCTCTGAATATGTTGACAATTTCGGTGATTTTCTTTCTGCATAACCAAAGCAGAAATAACAAAAGTTTTAAAATATGAAGAACTAACAAAACTCTATTTGAATCTTTTAACCAAATGCTTAGAATTGGCATTTGTACAAGTAAACAAAAGATCAGATTAAACCATGAACCATACCTAACATTATCCTCTGTTCCTCTTATTTGCTTTATGGCCCTTGTAATTTGCTTTTCAAAGCTGCTAAAGTCCTACAAAGAGTAACAAAAGAAATATCAGATGGCTTGTGAGCAAATGGGCTGATACGACAGATAAAAAAAAACATAAGAAAGGGATAAATACCACATTTGGACGTGATCTTAGCGACTGGTTCGTTGCTTCTAACTCCTCGAGCTTCTTCAACCTGTGGTTCTCCAATGTCAAAGCACTTTCTGCAGCTTGTATTGATTTACCTAGCATGATTAATAAAGAATAAACACAACACGAAATGAGATCACGATATTCAAATGTAAACGAAAAACAATGTATTCAGTAGAAAATAGCTTACCTCCAGCTTGAGCATTTGATGCAGCTAAACTTCTCTCCCTCTCAATCTTCTCTTCCGAAATTTTTTGTTCAGCAGCTTTTCGATCTGTTTCTTCCTTTTCAACTGCTTCTTTAGCTGCTTTTCTCTCAGCTTCTTTCTTTGCTTCTTCAGCTCTGAGTTTTGCTTGCATCTAGAAGAACCAAAAAGAGAAAAAAAGTTAAGCAAGCTGGGTAGGCTAAGGATAACAAACATAAAGTTCAACTGATAAAAAACATACTTCAGCCTCTGCACGAGCTTTTTCTTGACGTATTTTCTCCTCATGTTGTGCCCTTTCTCTCCTCCTGGCTTCCTCCTGAGCTTCCTCGCTCCTAATTTTTCTTTCTTCTATTTGCGATTTTACTTCATGTTCACGTTGTATTGCAGTCAGATGAGTATCGAGTGCTTCAGCACTAGAACACATCAACAACAACAAAAAAATCATTATTTTCCAAAATCTGCCGACGCTAGAAGGAAAAACAATCACAGCATATGAACAATAGCTTACACTTTTCTCTGGTACTGAAGATCAAGTTTACGTTCTACTTCTTTTCTAGTTTCGCTATACTTTTCAACCCGGGCTATTGCAGAGCGAGACGTTTCAATCTCTTGCAATATCTCCGTTTCAACAACTGATACTTGATTCCTAATATCTTCCTGTTATCAAGAAATCCAAATCCTCAATCAGCTATATATACAAATCGAAATACAAACACGTAACAGTTATATATTCTGCCTCACCTTAACTTCGGTTTGGTGGTCATTAATCACCTCATAAAGAGCATTCTCAGCCAAACCCATCTTACTCAACAGAAAGGACTCGGTTTCACCATCAAACTCATCATCAGATTCATCACTGTATCAACAATAACTACCCAATTAAAAACCCATACAACAACACTGAAGAACTCTTTGGCAATTTAGAAACAAGCTAGCAAGGGAGAGTTGGTGGTAATCACCTCAAGTATAGCTCATCACAAGCAAAACGTTTCCCTTTTGTACATATCTGAGTATGATCATCTTCTTCTTCATCACTCTCTTCATCTACATCACTCTCCATCTCATCTTCTGATACACGCATTACAAATCCTCCACCTCTCCTTCCCATCCTTTTTAAACACGCCAATGTAACTAACATGAGAAGCACTCCTCTACTTTCCAAATATTAAACTAACCAACCAGAATATTTCTAACTAAGGTGTATTACTAAATCAACCCTAAACCAATGCAGAACTCAAGAAAGAGCTAAACATTGAATGAAAAGACAGAGAGAGAGATGTATACCGTAAGGTTGTCTGAGTGAGAGGCTGAGGAGACATTGAAAAGACATTGAGCTTTTTTTCAACAGACTCGATCTCAGAGAGTAAGCTATTGAAGTTCCAGTTAGGCTCAGGGTCAATGCTAATCCCATCTACGCTTCTGGGACAAGGTGGTTCCAACACAACTCCCCTAAACACACAGAAAAAGAAGCCAACTTTGAAATAGAGAGAATAGTACTAAAAGAATCAAAATTTGAGAAATCAAAAAGGAACCCACTCACTAATGAGCTGAAACAACAACACCCACCACACGCATCTAAGTTTTGGAAAATTTTGAATTAGAGAACTTACATTGATGGTTCAAAAGATATAATCAATTAGAGACGGTATTTTCTCGCTTCTTCTCTGGGAGCGATAAAGTTCATGCCTTTGTTTCGAGAGACTCTCTGAATCCAAGATTTTTGTAGCACCCTCTCAACGCTTTCCTTTGTGTAGCGCGAGGAGCCCAAGGGGGGGAGGAAGAAGCTTAATATCGACGCCGTACGATGTCGTATTAAACGAGTTATGAAAATAAGAAAACAAAACCGGCGGTTACGAGTAACCGGTTGGTTTAAATCAGAACAGTCTAATAGTGTTATTGCTGGGCCTTCCTTCCCCCTATCCTCCGTCTTATTTAAGACCAAATAATAATGGGCCTACGCACCGACAAATAATAATGGGCCTAAGCCCATGAGTTTAACAAAAATGTTTAGTTTGGGAAATCTTGTGTTTATGGAAGAGCGCACAAAAGGAGTAATTACTTGGACGTAGGTTAAACTTCAACGGTGATTGATGACACACTTTAAGTCTCTCTTAATTTGTAAAGAAGTGTTGCCAAGTCTATTATAACTACTTTAGACTAAATTTATCTTGGAAATAGAATAAATCTAGGATGCACTTAGCTACGACAACAAGTAACAAGACTTCTGTTTGCCTTGACGTGGACGCAACCAGCAATGTTTTGGGCCCTAATGCTTGCAAGTGTCTGAGTAAGGATAGTTCGTGTCCGCCAGTGAGCCAGTGGTTCAAGATCATTAAAGTTTCAAGGCCACTGAAGAGCTCGAATTGAACAAACAGTTGGAGAATCTTTTAAAGCTCTTTTGACTTTGCTAAAACCTATTGCAAAATAAATCTAGCAAATTTAGTTTTTTTACTTAAATATTCTGTGCATTCTAATACTCTTGTTTAAATTTATTTTATGCAAAAAAAATCATTGAATAACTTACACATATATCTGCAAAGAATTATGCAGTTATCAAAATAAAAAAAAGTCCCTTATAGATTACAAATATATGAAAATCAATTCTGACAAATAAAAACCGTCAACAAAAGTAACATACAGTCCGGTTTAGACCGGTTTACTCTATGAACAAGAGCCAATGATAGCGCTAAAAATTTCGCAGAGTCAAATTGCAACGTGGCAATATATGTATCGTCGGATCACAACACATCAGCAGGATAACCGTTGAAAGGAAACGGCTATAATTACCCGCCACCAAAAACAAAAAAATCTTTACTTGACAGATTGTGATGGTGTTTATATCTCCGTTACTATGGTTTCTGTATTTCTGTTTTGTTTGTGAGTCTTAAGGTTTTTAAATTACAATAGATACTTCCGTTATGCATCTTGTTGCTTTCAAAGTCTAATGACAATTCGTGGAACCAAGTGCATACCACTTGTCTGATGAATTGTCTCTGTGAATAACTTTAGGAGACCCGTCTTTCATTTTCTTGTAGGAATTTACTAGAGTTTTTTTTGTTTGCTAGTCTCAAGGGAAACATATGGTTATCTTAGTCCACAAATTAAAGCAAGTAAAGTTTTTCCTTCTGCTCTGATGATGATCATTTCTGTTCATCAGTCAATTGTACATTACATTTTTTTTACGTTTTCTTTTGCAAGAGCTTATGGTAAAAACTGAAAACTGAGCTGTGGCTACGGAATGCGTCGTAGCCATGCTCCTCTAGCCTCTACTCAAGGGATATTAAATGAACGGTACATAAACTCTAAACCCTTTCTATAATATGTTGTGATGGTCCTTAGCTATTGTTCTTATCTCATAAAGTTTCGTATATCTCTCTGATGTTGAATTAAGACAAATCATCTCGATTGATTGAATGCAAACTAAACTGGTGTCTTGTCGATGAAGTGGTTTACACTATATAGTTTCGTAGATAAGTTGCTTTAGTAGAGATTGTTGGTCAACACTCGTATGGTTTATAATTTTACCTACTCCTCTTTGATTTTTTGGCCTCTCCACCACCAATAATCATTAGTGGTCACTCTTACAGCTTTAGTCGTTGATTCCTGATCTTTCTTGTAATTTCCTAATCCGTGTTTTAATAATTTGTCTAATATTTTAAGTAGACCTAAGAGACTTTGTTTGTTTTAGGTCTCAGCTTGACTATATTGTTGTTACTCATTGATAACTATACAATACAAGACCTCAGTTTTTGGTCAGACAAAAAATAGTTTAAAAAGACTAGAATACTTGACTTTTTTTTTTTTTTTTTGCTTATTTAAACGGTGTGTGCAGGTGAAACCATCTCCAGGTTTCTTGTTTCGGAACTTTCTTTCTCACATTATCTCTTTTTTTTTTGTTCTTTCTCTTGTCTGATCAACGATGGGAGGTTTTTTCTCTGTTCCCTTTTCAGGTGACCAAGTAGAGAAAGATGTTTCTTACCTTTCATGCTTCCAAGCGAGTCACATTAGGATTTTTGAGGAGAATCTCGCTGCTATGCAAAGAGACATGGAAGAGCTCAAGGCAAGCCAAACTGATGTGTTGAGAAGGGTCGAGAGGGAGGAGGATACTAGAAGTATGCAACGGCTTCCAGAAGTCAAGGTATGGCTTAAAAATGTTGATAACATCAGTAGGCAAGTCAGTTATCTGATTAGTCGTAGAACTGCTGAACTTGAAAGATTGTCTGTTAGTGGGTTATGCTCAAAGAACTCAAGATCAAACTACGGTTATGGGGAAAGGGTGTCTGTGATGTTGAAAAAGGTCAGTGATCTCAAAACTAAAGGATTTTTTGAAGTTGTGTCTGAGCCAGCTACGAAAACACCTACCAAGGAAAAGAAGAGACTATTCAGTTCCAGACCGGCTATTGTTGGTCGGGAAACGATTCTCAAGAGGGCTTTGAGCCGCTTCGTGAGTGGTGGAACCAGGAGTATAGGTCTGTACGGTGTTGGTGGTGTAGGAAAATCCACTATTCTCCGAGAGATCAGCAACAAGATCACTGCCAGATTTGACATTGTGGTTTGGGTTGTTATGTCTCAAGATTTGCGTGTCGAGAAGATTCAAGAAGAGATCGGTAAGAAGCTAGGCTTTCATGGGGAGGAGTGGAACCAAAAAGAGGAAAGCCAGAAGGCCAATGATATACACAACTTCATGAAGGACAAGAGATTTGCGTTGTTACTGGATGATGTGTGGACGAAAGTGGACTTAAGAAAGATAGGAGTCCCATCACCAACAAAGAAAAACAAATGCAAAATAGCATTCACCACCCGCTCTCGAGAAGTGTGTGTGCAGATGGGAGTTGCTGACCCTATTGAAGTCCAGTGCCTTGCTGAGAATGATGCTTGGGACTTGTTTCAGTTAAAAGTTGGAGGACACAGTTCGAAAATCCAAGAGATTGCAAGAAAAGTTGCTGAAAGATGTCATGGTCTACCACTTGCGCTGAATGTTCTTGGCGAGACCATGTCTTGCAAAAATAAGGTACGAGAATGGAATGGTGCACTACAAGTTTTGGCTTCTTCACCTACCACAGAATCTGCAGGAACTGAAGATGAAATTCTCCAGATTCTCAAGTATAGCTATGACAGTTTGAAGGGAGAAAAGTTGAAGTCATGCTTCCAGTACTGCTCTCTGTTCCCTGCAGGTTACATGTTGAGTAAAGCTAGTTTGGTTAACTATTGGGAAGCCGAAGGATTTTTAGGTAAATACGGTGGCAGCATATCCCAGAACCAAGGTTATGAAAATATCGATACACTTGTTCGTGCTGGTTTACTGATGGAGGGTGATGACAATACGAAGTTTGTTCAAATGCACGATGTGGTTCGTAAAATGGCTTTGTGGGTAGCTTCTAATCTTGTGGATGAAGAAAGATGGGTTGTGCAAGCTGGTGTTGGGTTACATGAAGTGGTATCTGTTCAGGACTGGACCAGGGTGAGAAGGATGTCACTGATGAATAATGAGATTAAAGAGATATCTGGCTGTCACGAGTGTGATAAACTTACGACCCTCTTTCTCCAACAAAACAGCAACTTGGTGCGTATCTCTGGTGAGTTCTTTCAGTGTATGCCAAAGCTAGTTGTATTGAATATGTCGTTCAACGAGCTCAAGGAATTGCCAGAGGAGATATCAGGTTTGCTCGCTCTGCGATATCTCAACTTGTCACGGACCAAGATAGAGCGGTTGCCTGATGGTTTAGGAAGGTTGAAACGTCTTAAACATCTCAATCTGGAAATGACGAAGAGACTCAAGAGCGTTAATGGGTTATCAGATGTATCAAGTTTAGGGGTATTGAGACTACAAGGTTCGAACGTTACTCTCGATGCTAGCACAATAGAGGAGCTTCAACACTTGACACGACTAGAAAGCTTAAACATAGACATCTCCTCAAGTTCAGCTTTGAAGCAGTTGTTTAGAGCTCATGAGTTGGCATTTAGAATTGAAGAGGTATGTATTAGAGATACTCAGGATGTAGCATGTCTAGTTTTGCCAACAACAATGGAGCAACTCCGTAAGCTCACCATAAAGAGATGTGGTGTAGTGGAGATAGAGATTGGGAGGGTATCATACGACACGTTTCTGATAAAGCCAACACTAGCGAACCTCTCAAGTGTGATTATAACTGGCTGCAATAGACTTAAGGATGTAACGTGGCTGTTGTTTGTTCCAAAGCTTGCTCACCTTAAGCTTCAAAGTTTAGATAAGGTAAAAGAGATCTTAAGCGAGGAGAGAGCGGCATGTGAGCAAAACGCTGGAGGAACAAAGACCCCGTTTGATAAACTTGTAAGGCTTGAATTGAGTAACTTGCCGATGTTGAAGAGCATCTACAGAAGTCCTCTTCTCTTCCCTTGTCTAAAGAAGATTGATGTAGAAAGGTGTCCAACACTGAGAAAGCTTCCACTCAGTTCTGGAAGTTGCCTTGGTGGTGGTGATGAACTTGTCATCAGTTACAGTGATGATGAGTGGATGGAAAGTGTTCAATGGGAAGATAAAGCCACTGAAGAACGTTTCTTGCTTTGCTGTGAAAAGGTATGAAGTTTTCCATAACTAAGAAACTTCCTTAAGTTTCTTTTTTGTATCTCCATAATAAAAGTTTGTGGTCTTCTTGGCTTCTGTAGGTCATCATGCCCTCCTACACAGGAGATCTGTGAAGCAAAGCCGTTTTTTTTTTTTTTGTGTGTTGCTGCTATATCCTTTTGATTCTTCTCTTTTTGTTTGATTGGATTGTATTTGAACCACAAAAGAGTTAAATGTTTTATCTAATGAACAATGTGATATCCTTTTTTTTGCTTTACTCTGTTGAGACTTCAAAAGTAATGTGGTTGTATTGTGTAGACTTAATTGTAATGTATTTTGATTTGATACGAATCTCGTCTTTCGCTCCTGCCTGCAGTGAAAGTCTCTAGTTAAGACTAAATGTGAGAGATTACATTTCCTGTAATTTTTAAATCCTAAACCGCCAGAACCAGTGAACAAAGGACTATCAAATCCAAAACCGGACCTGGTACAATAAATATCTAAAAACCTAACCGAAAATAAAAAAAGAAAAGAGAAGGGTATAAAACCTAACGACGCCACACTTGTTCCTCCTCTTAGGGTTTCTTTCTCTATCTCTATCTATCTTCTCCCAAAAACCTCCGACAATGTCCGGATCTCTAGGTCGCACGCCGGAGTCCTTAAAGGCCTCAGGCCGGAGCTCCGAGAAGCTCAGCCTCCCCATCCTCCAAGGCAAAATCAAACGAGACCCAGACGGTTACGAAACAGAGCTCCAACTAATCTACAAACAGTTCAAAGCCTCCGTCGATCTCTTCCAGCAACAAGCCGCTCTCAGCTTCTCCTCCGTTGGAGGCATTGGCTCTGACCCTTCTGTCGCTAAAGACCTCGGGGACAGAGCCATGTTCTTGGCTCACGTCACTCCCTTTTACCCCAAGCAGCTCGCGGAGTTTCCGGCTCAGTTGACTGATTTGCTTCGGACCTCGTGCCTTGCGATGCCCTCGGGGCTGAGGAACCAGGTTGCTCAGGGTTTGATTTTGCTTATGAATCGAAAGGTATGTGGTTTTTATGTGAGGGGTTGGGGTTGAAATGTGTGTGCTTGAGAATGGTTTTGATTGTAATCGAAATGTATGTGGTTTATGTGATTGATTGTAATTGAAAGGTATGTGTTTTTATGTGAGTGATTGGGATCGAAAGTTATGTGCTTTATGTGATTGAGAGTAGAATCCAAAGGTGTTTGCTTTTATGTGAGTGATTGGGATCGAAAGGTGTGTACTTGAGTAATCGAAAGGTGTGTGCTTTATGTGATTGATTAGAATCGGAAGGTATGTGTTTTATGTGAGGGGTTGGGATTGAAAGGTGTGTGCTTTATGTGATTGAGAGTAGAATCCGAAGGTTTGTTTGTGTGCTTGAGGATGGTTTTGATTGTTTTACTTGGTTGTGTTTTGTAGAGTCTTGTCATAGAGGATTTGCTGGCTCTGTTTCTGGATGTTCAGACGATTGGGGATAGAAACTTGAGGAAGCTTGCGTTTTCTCATATTGTTCAAACCATTCGTAAGATGAGTGTTACTGATCCGAGGCATAAGGGACTTCAGAAGATTGTCATCTCCATGTTGGAGGTAATTTCTTGTCTCTAATGTTCAGGAAAATCGATAGGGAGTAACTAGGTTAAAAGACTAGCTACTAGGCCTAGATATTAACGAATATATGTATATATATATATATATATACATATTACCTTTATATAATTTGTGGCTTTGTACCAACATTGTTCTCAATTTAAACATATTTAGAATACTTTAGATCGATTTTAACCGATTTATACAATTTTAAACAAATTTGGGTCGTACAAATCGGATTTGAGGAGAATCATTTCGGCTACTGGGGAGGTGCATACTATCATGGGATTGTGTACGATCATAATTAGCTTGGTGTGTTTGTTTTTGTTTTGTAGCAAGAAGATGAAACAAAGGCTAAGAGAGCACTTGTTACTCTCTGTGAGCTTCTAAAGAAGAAGGTCTGGCTTGGTGATAGACATGACAGAGTTGCTATTGCCATTTGTGAAGCTTGCTTTCATGCTTCACCTAGGTTACCCTCTTTTTGTTTCTTCTGACTTTGGAGTATGTTGGTGTGATTTGGTTGGTAACCTTAGGAACTTCTCTTTTGACATGTTCAGGATCATGGTTTCTTCTCTTCGGTTTCTTCTTGACTACGAGAACATTGAGGATGATGATGATAGTGATGCTTCAGACAACGATGATGACGAGGATTCAAAGCACGAATCCCATGTTGTAATTAACAGGGAGGCTGTTTACAAGGTGACAACATTTATACATGAATTTTATCAGAGATTATGAAGAAGACCCTTACTAGTTCTTGATGCAAATTTTCATCCTTAGGAATAAGTATAGATCTAGGTTCTGCTTACATGGTATTATGGAGTTAAAATATTTATTTTTCGGATGCTTAGGCGAACAACAAAGGTACATCTTCTAGCAAGAAGAAAAAGCAAGCGAAACTGCAACGTGCAATGAAAAGTATAAAGAAAAAGCAGCGTGCTTCTTCCGAGAGCTCGACTTCAACTTATTCACCTCTCAATCATCTAAATGATCCTCAGGTTCACCTCCTAGCTTATTGTAGTATGCCATTCACAGAGAAAGTTATCATGATATACGATAGTATGGAGTGGCTATAATTGAATGTTTACTTCTTTTACAGAAATATGCAGAGAAATTGCTTTCCCGTCTTCAGACTGGCAAGAGCATTGGCAAAACTAGTGAACGAATTGAGGTAACTATTTTCTGTTTTATTTCATCAATGGAATTTGACTAAGCCACTTCACAGCCCCCTCAATTAACCAAGTGCATAGCTTTAATGAACTGATAATTTCATTATATTTTCTTCTAACTATGGAATAAATTTTCAGACCAGGTTGATGATGATGAAAGTTATTGCACGCACAATTGGGCTTCACAAGTTGCAGTTATTAAGCTTTTACACTTATCTTCAAAATTATGCTAAGGTATGATCTGCTAACCATTTAAAAAATAAATCCTATGCTAATTAAAATTTGATAAAAAATATTCGTGAATGCAGCCACATGAAAAGGATGTTACACAGATCCTTGCAGCAGCAGTTCAGGCTTGCCATGATGGGGTATAGAAACGTTTCCACATTTAAAGCATTATTGCTTTTCTCATTCTTGGGTCTTACCAGTTTTAATTTGTTTCCGGCAGGTTCCTTCTGATGCTGTGAAACCACTGTTCATGCAAATAGTGAATCAGTTTGTACACGACCGTTCACGTCCTGAGGTGTGATGTCAAACTCTCTTACATGAAGAGACTCAAGTAGAAAAATTGTTCTACCATTTTTATTTTCCTTTTCAATTCATTGTTTTCATTTATGTTGCCAGGCTATTGCTGTTGGACTCAATGTGATACGAGAAATGTGCCTCAGAATTCACGATGTAACTAGTTCTTAGCCCTGATTTTAAACGTAGTGAAACAGCACCATTCCTGGTTTATCTGACATGTGTTTTTTTTTTTGTCATCGTGTACTTCAGCTGATGACAGAAGAGTTGCTGCAAGATCTTGCTCTGTATAAAAAGGAACATGAAAAAGCCATCTCTGCAGGAGCTCGTTCCCTCATAGCATTATTCAGAGAGGTTAGCAGAAGCATTTTGATTTGTTGGTTTGAACAAAATAATCGATGTATGTGGTTAACCTTTAATTGCGTTCTGTAATTTCAGATTAACCCTTCGCTTCTAGTGAAAAAAGACCGTGGTCGTCCTGGAGGTCCCGTTGCCAAACCTAAACAATACGGAGAAGCTAATGTCTTCACCGACGTTCCAAATGTTGAGTTATTGCAAGAAAGTGATCATGAGAGTGACTCTGATGATGCTGATGAAGACGATGATGCGTTGGAGTTGCCTGGCAGTGATGATGTTGACCAGGAGCTGATACCTGCTGATTGTGGAACCGAGGAAGAAGCTGAAGAAGATTCTGATGATGATATGAACAACACTGAAGATGATAGTGATGTCGATACTTCTATCGGTGGTGATGAAGAGGAGGAAGATATGAATGACAGTGATGACGCCGAGACAGATTCTGAAAATGAGGATGTGGAAAGCGAAGAAGATGATGATGGAGACGAGTCTGATTCTTCTGCAGAAGATAGTGGAAGCAAAGGGAAGGCAAATGGGAAGAAAAGGAAGATAGTAGATTTCGATGCGAATCTTCTCTCTGCTGATACAAGCCTACGAGCACTAAAGAGGTTCGCAGAAGCGAAAAGCGAGCAGCCTTCTTTGGATGAAAACGATGGCATACTTTCTAATGAAGACTTCCGAAAAATCAAAGACCTTCAGGTATGTGTTTTTCATTCTGTTTGGTAAAGAAGTTCAACGTTATTGATGTTTTTTTGTGTCTGCAATACTACAGGCAAAGAAGGAAGCAAAACTTGCATTGGCTCGAAAAGGATTCAAGGTTCCAGATTCTGATCAGCTAAGTAAGAAGCGGGTCAATCCAGCCAAACTTGAAGTAAGCTTTTGTTACTAATAAGAAGTTACACAATGTTTTGACACACAACTCAGGTGAGATTTGACGATGATGCTAAAAATGGTTGTTACTGTTCCCACAGGCTCACATAAGGCATAAACTAACAAAAGAGCAGAGAATGGAGTTAGTTAAAGCGGGAAGGGAAGACAGAGTGAAATACCAATCCAGGACTGCCACCAAGCAGAAGAAGGTATCCAATTTTTTGTTTGGTCGTATACATCAAATGGTTATATAATGTTTGTTTGATTGATGATTGTGTAAACGAAAACGCAGGTGGGAGGATCGAGCAATAAACAGAAGGAGCACCAGAAGAATATGCCTCTTGGTGCGATAAGATCAAGGGCTTGTAGATCAAAGCGAACCAGGAAAATGAAGAGTAAGATCAGCGCAACCCAGTTCAGAGGAAGGAAAGCTTGGAAATGAAACTGACCAAAACACTCTTCCTACTTGCTTTTTTTTTTTTTTTTTTTTGTCTCAAAACCCCTACAACTTTGTTTCATGTTTTTTTTTTTGTTCAGTGTCTGCAGTTTTGATATTCTAGGTATCTGCATCAAATGTTGTCGTTGGCCTTGTTAACATTAGTTTTTATTTACATTGGTGATAATACCATAACATGCATTATGATCATTAAGTCCGATGTTTAAAAAAAACCGCTAGACAAGTTAATAAATTCTCGTTTTATTCTTTTATATTGTATATTCATATTAAATATTTTAGCTTCTGGTTTCACATATAAAATTATTTTCATGAAATATAACAATCAAAATAAAAAAGGAAATTAGATAAACTAGATTTTGCTAGTATAGGTTATTTTATTTACTCTTGACATTTCGCTTATCAGTAGTTTTGGTTTTAATATTTTCGATATCCATTCGAGTGTTTCTGTTCAGATATCAGTTGTTTTGGTTCGAGTATCAGTGGTTTGTTTTGTTCGAGTATTTCAGATATCAGTAGTTTGAGTAGACATTTAGAAAATTCATTTATTATATATAATCTAATTTCAGTTTTGATTCAGATTATGTTCAGATACTTTCGGGTTCGAGTCGATTTGGATAGCAAAACTAGAAAACACCATTCGATTCTATTTTGGTTTCGGTTCCGGTTTTGACTATGATATGAATTTGTTAATTTAATTTAATTGATTGTATGGTTTGACTATGATATGAATTGTGAACTTTATTTAATTGACTGTGTAATGGATGTAAGAGCATCCACATCAATGAATCCAAAAAAAAAGGTTAATTGAATCAATTTTTTATTATTAAAGTTTTTCTGTTTTTTTTTTGATTTTTTAGGAAAAAAAAAAAACTTAGACCAATTCCTAGCTGACACGTGTTGAACTTCAGGAAAGAGAAGTTCACCCGAGAAAACTTTAGAAGAGAGGAGTTCATAGATTTTTATTATTTTATTATTATTTTTTTTTTGTTTTCGTGTGAACTCCCCATTTGAACCTGGGGTGCTTTAATAATTGACGGTCAGCGGGCTTATTTACATAGTGCAAAAGTCTTCATTAACATAAAAGGGCCTTAATAGGCCTTAGTAGAAAGATTATTGATCCCAATGATACTGTTAAAAACAAGTTTGTTATGACTGTTGACATATAAAAAAAAACATCAAGGTGAAACTCATACATAGCTTTGTCCGAATCGGATAAGAAAAAAACATCTCGCGTGGATCTCGACGAAGACGACTCTCTCTCCCTCCTATCTCACCAAAACTTCTGTTCAATTTAACAGAGAGAAGCTTCAATCAATCGATCATCGTCGGCAACAAAAATCCGGAGCTTGAAAAAATTGTAACTTTCCTCTTAGATCTGTTTTAATCTCTTTTCGATTTTGTAAGAACCCTAATGTTAGTTAGAGCTTCATCCATCTGTATATATTTATGTGTGTAGCTCTTTTTCCTTGTAAATCAAAACATGTAATCTCTAATTGTATATATGAATGTTGTGAAGATCCAATCTTTTAATGAAGAGAAGATATGTTGAGCTTAGATCCCAAATCTCAGATCTGCAAGCTAAAGTTCCTGTTTTATTTTATTTATTATTATTTGGATCTGTAATTAAGAATGTAATCTGCTTCGATGTTTTGAGTTGTAAAGAGTCTTGTCCTAATTGACTAGGCAGACTTGTAGTTTGTTGATTAAGTTCATGTAAAGAGATATTGTAATAGGATTTTTCTTATGTAATTTTTATTTTTGTTAATTCTTGTTGTATTTTATGGCCAGTTTTGTTATGAATCCAATGAGTGAAGAAGGTAATCAGAAGCTGATACATCAAGGAAGCGGAACTATTCCTGCTTTAGCGGATGAAGAGCTGATGGGAGATGATGATGACTATGATGATCTTTATAGCGATGTTAATGTTGGTGAGAGCTTCTTCCAAACTCATCATCAGCCTCAGGCACCTGATCAAGTCAGTGGAGGCCTTCAAGTTCAGAGTAGTAGTGTTTCTGAACCTAGAATGGCACCTGTATCTGAAGAGAAGTATGGGGGGCATAGTGGAATCAATGGACCAGAAACAAGGTCAGATGCTTATCCACAAGAAAAAGGGATGAATAGTAATGTCCAAGTCAATAAAGTTGTTCCACAAGGAGCAACATCTATTGTGTTAAACAGCCATGGTTATTCAGGGAATGCTGTTAATGCCCCTGAGCCACCACCTGTGCATAAACCCTATGGCGGTGCTCCTCAAGGAGCTCAGCAGATTCCTGTTAGTCAGATGAATGTGATTCCAAATCCTATTGTGAACAGAAGCCCCACGCAGCCGTTCGTTGTGGACAATGGGAACACTATGCTTTTCGTTGGAGAGCTGCATTGGTGGACGACGGATGCAGAGATTGAGAGTGTTCTTTCTCAGTACGGAAGAGTCAAAGAGATCAAGTTTTTCGACGAGAGAGTTAGTGGCAAATCTAAAGGGTATTGTCAGGTTGAGTTTTATGATTCAGCTGCTGCTGCTGCTTGCAAAGAAGGAATGAATGGGTTTGTTTTCAATGGTAAAGCATGTGTTGTAGCTTTTACTTCTCCTGAAACGTTGAAGCAGATGGGAGCTAACTTCACTGGGAGGAACCAAGGACAGAACCAAATTCAAAACAGAAGGCCTTTGAATGAGGGAATGGGAAGAGGTAACAACAACAACATGAATACTCAAAATGGAGACAGTGGAAGAAACTACGGGAGAGGTGGATTTGCTCGTGGTGGCCAAGGAATGGGAAACCGTGGAGGTCATTGGGGTGGTGCAGTGAGAGGTAGAGGGATAAACAACATGGCTAACGGTTCCGGGACTGGACCATATGGCCCATCATTTGGTGGTATGATGCATCCACAGGGTATGATGGGAGCTGGTGGGTTTGATCCTTCATTCATGGGTCGTGGCGGTGCTTATGGAGGGTTCCCAGGTCTTGCTTACCCCGGGATGCCTCATTCTTATCCCGGTGTCAATGCAATGGGAATGGTTGGAGTTGCTCCTCATGTTAACCCCGCCTTCTTTGGCACGGGAATGGGAGCGATGAATGGAGGTCATGGAGCAGCGATGTGGAACGAAGCTAGTGGAGGAGGTGGTGGTGAAGAGGGTGGTTCTGAATATGGTGGATATGAAGATGAAGACAAAGAGAGAGAAGATAAGCCATCACGAGATAAAGAACGGGCAACCACTACAGAACGTGACCGGTCTGAGAGCAGTGGTGATAGAAGTAGGCACAAGAGTCACCGTGAAGAGAAAGATAGTCACCGTGAGTATAAGCAGCACAGAGACCGTGATTCTGAAGAGTTCGATAGAGGACGACAATCTTCTTCTAAATCTCGAAGCAGATCAAGAATGGCGGAAGATGATTACCGGTCCAGGTCAAGAGATGCAGACTATGGAAAGAGAAGACGAAGAGATTGAAAAAGAAACCTCTCTTACTGCATCTAAACTATACTTGTTTAAGTTACTTCTTATATTTGATACAATGTTTCTCTAAACATAGCATATGACATATGTATTTGTATACTATGTTTTTGTTAAAGATTCTTCATCTGTTATTGCAATCACACCATGATTATAGAGTTTTTGCGACTGATTCAATGTTTCTCTTTATTATTTGCTGTATTCAAGCTTTTTTTGTAGGCATTTCACAGGTATTAGATAAAAATGTAAAAGCTGAGAAGCTTTGGGAACACAGTTTTACATTTTATACAATACAATTTACCTTCTAAAAAAATTGTATGTACAGATTCTCTAAATCAGATTTGAGTACTCGTAGTAAACCAAGAATAGAGCTTCAGGGTAATCCTTGGGAAGGCTATTGATGTAGAGGTAGAATCTGAACAAGTCTTCCCTTGAAGCTGTCCTTGTATCCACCACGTCGTTATCACCTGCAAGCACCCACAAATCCTCTGAGTTCACTCTCTTTATGCTGCCTCGGCAAAACGGGCATGACTGAGACTTCAAGTTCCTGCACACATGTGAGAACCAATGGAAATTTAGTAAAATGAAAACTCCTTCAAAAGGTCTCAAAAAAAACAAACTGTTGTCATGTGTGTGTGTACCAATTGCGGTAGCATTTGATGCACATTGAGTGGCAGCAATTAGGCAACACCATTTTAGTGCATGTTTCTAAACAGATTCCACATTCTTCCTCACGCTCTAACCCTGCATTGCTGAATCTACTACTGTGAGCAGCCTCTCTTGTTATCTTCTTGCTGAGTCTTGTAAGGTCAAAGCCAACGTCTGAAGTGTCCAGCTCTTCTAAGTTGCTGTGTAATAGCTGAAGTGATGGTAGTATCACACCTTCAAGAGACAAGACAACGTTAAGAAAAAAATTGGAACACACAAAAAAACCCCTTTTGAAGAGAATGTGCTTAAGCTAAAACATTTTAGTGCAAGTTTCCAAACAGTTTCCAGCAACGGTAACGTGTTTGCTTACCATAGAACTCACTGATAGTTGCTTTTCTTCCGTGCGTGGTGAGCTTAGGTTGTCCATCAGAATGAACCTGTACAAGCAAAGATAACAAACAAAATGTCAACGAAATCAGAAATTTCAGTCAACTCTAACAAAAGGAAGACATCTTTTTGAGATGAAATAGGACTTTAAAAACTAACCTTGTAGACAAGAACATGAAAGAGGTTGAAGTAACGAGGAAGCAGACATGAGCAAGAGAGATCAATCCACCGAAACAAGATGAGTAATAACGAAGCAAAGTTGCTCTGAACCAGTTTCATCTGAAGCCGTGCATTATCCTTTCCCATTGGAATTGCTTCTGCCCTGAAAAAGGAGAAAACTCAAGTTCTCATTCACCATTCAGCAGCCACACAAACATGTGCAGCAACGAAAACATAACTCAGAGACCCTAAATTAGCTAGCAACCCGAGCCTAAAAAAAGCTACTAAATTTGCTGAAATTAGAATATCAAGCAGACAACAACTTTCAGAAACTTTCCATTTGAGAATGCTATAATCTTCTAAAATCAAACTAAAACTTATCAGAGTTTCCTTAAATAACCTAAAGGTCTCAGCTTGGTTTTCAACATTCACCTACTTTTATAGCTCAACTAATCAAAACTATAGTAAAGTCTTAAACTTTAGGAGAGAGGAGACAAAACCCAGAAAAGGTACTTACAAAGTATTAGCATGTTGAACATCAGCTTCCAAAAGCTTCAAAGATTCATAGTAACTGGAAGATGATGATGACGAAGAAGTTAGTGCCAGCTGATTATACATCTCTTTTTCTCCTCTCAGTGATTGCAACAAGGAATTGATTGAAGAAGACAAATATAAGAAACGAAAGAGAATAAGAAAGAAGATGCCGAAAGCGAGGGATTGGTCTGAATGATCGGAAAAAGGCAAGAACACAAGTCTCACTTCTCTCTCTCTCTCTCTCTCTGCTTTTTGCCTTTTTGATTCTTTGTTCACGGTTACCTGCTTTATTTAAATATATATAATCAATGTTGAAGAAGAAAATTTCGTTTGTTAATAAGAAAATTAATGGTTTTTTTTTCTTGTCAAGTAAGCTATAAACTTTGAATTGAGAAAGAAAAAAAAAACTTTGAATTGAGATGGCTTTTTGGTATGTGAATATAATAAATAGTCCATTTCAGTCAATTGTAACAGTTTTTGGAATAAATACTTGAAGCGAATATAGACAAGAAAAGGGACCAAAGTAGAAGAACGCGTGCGTGTTCTTTGCCTCACTAATAAAACATGTTTTGCTCAAGTTAACCCAAAGAATAACCCCGAAGTTATTCTATGCTTTAAATTTCAAAGTATAGATGTACACACACACAAAACAAAAGAATAGAAATCAAACAAAGTTGTTTGTTACCAAAGTAAACTTGAAGAACATCGTTTAGTTCTTGTCAAAACAAAAAAGATTCGCTTCTTAGATGGCTTCTAAAGTCATCAGCTCTATCACAAAAGTACACCTAAGTACCCCTTTGCTACGGGCATAGAAAGCTAATATACATCTCGTTTTCAACAAAACTTGGGGGGTCGTTCACTCATTCAACTTTTAAGCTACATTGGAGTTGACTCTTGACTCTTCTTTGTTCATCTTATGAACTGATTACTCACAAGGCATATGTTATGTCACCTTTTACTCTCTTACTATAATGCAAAAAAACTCATTAAAGAAAAGCTTAATGTTTGATGATAGCTTTATATACAAAGTAAAATCATATTCACATTTCACAACACTAAGACATTTCTACATCTTTTCTCTTCAAAAAGCAATGAAATTCTTATTAAGCTGATCATGAAACCTACCAGACCGTCGCACACTAGCAGCTCTTCTCGCAGTGAAACCAACAGTTGTAGGCCTAATAGATCTTTGCCTAACCATCTCCACAAACTCAGGATCATTAGAATGACCCTCGTACCTTATCCACTGAATCATCTGGTGGTAGCCAGGGAAGAATCTCATCTGAATAGACTTGAAGACAAAGTAAGGGATCAAAGCAAAGATCATCACGAAAAGGGTTGTTAGCCAGTAAGATGGAGCTGGAGCTAGGGCTTCAAGGAAGACTTTGTAAGCATCTGTAGAGAAGCTAGGACCCATGGCTCCATAGATCATTAGGAAGATGTACCATAAAGCTATTGAGCCCCATATTACAATGTGTTGGACCCAAGTGAAGTAGCTTATGGCTAAAACCATTTGGAGATTGACCACCCAGACAATGCAAGTGTACATTGTCCCTCCTAGGATTTCCCGACCGGCTGTTTTGCCGTTAGGGTTGTAGAGTTGGTGTTCTTGAGCTTCCTTGCAGATGAAGAAAATGGTGAGCGCTGTGATTACTCCATTGAACATCCATCCAATGATTCTTTTCCAGCTGAAGAGAAGATTCTGAACTCCTTCTTGGTATAACAATGGGAACTGCAAAATAAATAAAAGACGAAGGTTAATGGGCTATTCAGAGTAATCTAGGGTTTGAGTAAGGTAATGTAGACCTACCTTGTAACAGAAGCGAGCTGAGACGTCTTGATCGAAAACTCCAAGAGCAATGACTGGAAGCGAAGAGAAGAAGACGTTGAAAAGGGATAGAAACCAGTCGTTATATGCAGGTTGAGCAGAGAAGGATGTGTATGCTTCGTATAAGAAGACAGTCACACCAAAAGTGATATTCTTGTAGAAGAAGTAACATATCTGCAAGAGCAAAAACAAACCCTAGTTAGAGAAAAATGTGATGATGTATGTATATAGTTTATCTAATAGAGAGAAAAGATATGTACCATGGATGAGATTCTGCTGTAACACCAGTGACCATGGACGAGTAAGAGACGCTCTAAGTATCTGAACTGAGCAATGGCTATGTCACTAGACATAACAGCTTGCATTCCTTCAACACCACTGATTCCGACACCTATGTCTGCTTCTTGAAGCATTCCAACATCATTTGCTCCATCTCCAATAGCTAATGTTGTCTTCCCAGTTCCACTTTTGACCAGCCTTGTAACCTAAAGAAAAAGCAAAACAAATCTGTTATTAATCACACCGAAACCGTCATGCTAAAACCTCACATATCCAGTGAGAAAGAGATCATTACCAATGCCTTTTGCTTAGGTGAGGATCTACAGCAAATAACAGATGCACACCGTGTAGCTAAATCAAGAAACTGTTTCTTGAAATCATCTTCGAGAGCGTACGTTAGCGACTTCCCGTCAATGATCAACGCAAACGCCTCATCAGAGCCGCTTGATCCTGTGATGAGAGCTTTCCCTTCCTCCATCTGCTTCACAACGCTTTCTCTAGATGCTTGTTCAATAGCATCTTTCTCTCCAGCTTTCTCTAATGCTTTTATATGTGGTGTCTCGAGGTTTATTATGATCTGCTTCATCTCTTGTCTTAGTAAACTACATGCAAACCTGTAGAGATTCCGACAAGAACGTCAGACACACTAAGAACACTGTTTAGGTTCAGACAATGTTTAGCTAAGACCAAAGTCACTTACCCTATATTGATTGCAGTCTCCATCTTGTCTCCGGTTAGAACCCAAATCTTGATTCCTGCTTGAGCAAGCTTGTCTATACAATCAGGAACCTAAACACACACAATCAAAATTAGACATTATAACAAAAAAAAAATCTACTAAATATGAATGTTACAAAGAGGTAAGCCTATATACCCCATTTTGAAGTTTATCCTCAACAGCAGTAGCACCAAGGAGAATCAAATCACGTTCCATCTGATCAGTAATTTCATCTATTAAACTCTCACGATCCGCTGAAACCGAATTCTTAGCTTCATTGAAGTTCTTGCTGAATTCTATATACTCATTCTCATCAACCTCACGGTATGCAAGTATCAATGTCCTTAGCCCTGCATCTGCATATTCATTAACATGTTCTCTTGTCTTCTCTTCGAATTTACGCCCGTTCTTGGCAAGTCTTTCAAACATCACACTACACACACACACAACAAAAACAAGATTAGTTCAATACATATAGATCAGATCATCAAGAAAGCCTCAAAATGTAAAAAAATTACTTGTCAGCTCCTTTGGATAGTAACAGAAGCTTCCCATCTTCATCTCTCACGATCACTGACATTCTTTTCCTCGCACTATTAAACTCAAGAACATT